TTTATTGACTCCTGCATCTTGCCTATTCTCCTCCAATCTTCTTCCTCATTCTTTGCTGGGTTGTTGAGGCAAGACTACGCCATATTGCATGGACTTTTGAAGAATGCCAGCAGAACTAGTGGTGTACCTCCAATTCTTCTTGTTAAAACAGTTGTGGACGAACATATAGACTCATGTGAACATCTGATAGGAGTAATTTTATCAGGTGGTTAACATCCTCTTCACACGAAGCTGTCTTCATGTTGGCCAACAGGAAAGATGAGGAGCAAGTACATGACACTTTATGCACGTACTAAAAATTATAATACTCTACAATACTGTACTCATGTTGTTTCCTGTGCGGTGGAGGGAGTATTACAAATGAACTAACTAATCAACTTCTGTTTTTGAAAGCAAACTAATTGATGATGAACATTTTACTATTTACTTATTTTGAATGTAACTGCTAATATGACTGTCCACGTAAATCAACTGCACATTTTCAATAAAGTTGTAGAAGGATTGAATATCCTTAACTTTTTTGAATATGTAGTTTATACGTTTTTTTATTTTTCTATGTATACATGTACACTATTTCTGTTGAATTGATGATATTTGACATGCTGAAAATCCTGTAGGTCATCCTCGAAACAGCTTTCATAATAAAACCATTATTATTATTATTATTATTATTATTATTATTATTATTATTATTAAATATTTAACGAATGACTTCAGGGACATGATAATTGTTCGCTATTACAAAGTTGATAGATAAGATTATGTCCAAATTCATTTTATCCACACAATACACAAACTAAATAAGGTATGGCTGTATTTTTGGACATAGCTGTGCGTGCATAAAGTTTAATACATTCGTTTCCTATCTTCCCAGAGGATAGAAATGGTGAGAGGTGTGTATACAAAGGATGCTTGTCATCATATAAAGCACTTTTAGCTAGCAGTCCAAAACAGTTCAGATGCCTATCCACTATCGCACATATCATAACTGTTATTATTATACCACTTGCTCTACTAACAGCCTTTAAAACCCTATGCAGTACACCATAGTCCATTTTCCGGAGTCCAGAAAAGAATAAAGCGAAAGAATAAGCAAGTACAGGCAAAACACAGGAACTAGTGAAAGTTAAGAGTGCAGGCTGAGTTATGTCAGATAGCCTGAGTTTCTCTATATAAAAGTTCAAAAGGAGAAATTTCCTGGAAATCAGTAAGATGTGAGAGGACTAAAAAGGATCAGAAGATGGATCATACCCATACATTCTCTGCAACAGAGCCATCTGTAAGACTAAAATCATTGCACAAAAGAAATTTATGGCCTGAGCTAAAATTAACCATCTGGCATCTGAAGAGATTGGGAGTGAGGTCATATATGGAAGACCAGTGACCAGTTTCTGTCATGAAGTTATTAGGCTGAGTCTGAAGAAGAGGTAAACGGCATGATTACTGTTAGGTCATCTGCGTACCTAACAAATTCAACTTTAGTTAAGGTTGGTAAGTCATCCAAAAAGAACGAGATAAGAAAAGAAGAAAGAACAGCCCTTCGGGGCACTCCAGCCTTACTAAGTAGCAAAGCACAGCCTCTCCCTTCCTAAAGAGTCCATAGTCTTCTCTTAGCAAAATAAGAATCAACCCAGATAGTCTCACAAAACCTGGGCGTGGAGTGAAAAGTTTTCTAAAGAAACTCGGACCTGACTTCCCTGCGAAATGTTGGAATTCCTGATTTCAAATCCGGTGAGATTTTGTCTAAATCTAAGTTATACCTAAGCATCAAGCCAGTTTCCAGTCTAGGAATCACTGTGAATTTCGCAAACCTGGTTAACAAAAGGAGTCTAGAGATGGAACCAAAGACAGATCTAACATCCTTGGCGCCTTTCTCCTGAATGGTAATGATATTGTGCTGGAAAACAAATGAAGCACCTAAGGTATTCCTTCTGAGTTTGTAGACAAACTGACTTATATCGCCGAAAGCATCCGTAGGATATTCAGGCACACAAAGCAACAGTTTTTTCTTAGCTTCTAGGAATAATGAGCCTACTATGATCAGAAAAAATTTCAGCTTTGCTCCAAAAGATGCCGACTTAAGTACCGTAACTATTTCGATTTCCTTCCAGATGGTTGGTCACTCATGCTTGACGAAGGACACATTTAAAATATTCATGAGTGGATGACACGAGATACCAGCAGATATGCTAAACAGAATACCTGATACGTCATCCGGTTGGAGGTTTTATGAAATTTTTATTTATTTTAGGCATTTCGACACATCTGTTCCATTGAATTTATGAAAACGGCTTTCTGGTAAATGTGAAGAACTAGATAAGATAACATTGGCAGGTTTATGAAAGAAAGACTCGTTTAGTGAACAGACGTTTTCACCGGCTTCATTTTTGAGTTTTCTCTTGCCAGTAAGTTCATTAAAAGTCCCCATATACTAGAAAGTAGTTCACATGACATCACCTTCCATTCCGCATTCTATAACGTGCATCGGCATTTAAGTATATTGTCATATGTAAAGCTACTGTGTATAGTCTTTTTACATCGGTATTTAAAAGTATTTTTCTGCAGCTTGTCATATATTTTTAGCAGAACACGTATAATACAGTGGTCTGATTGCAGGAGTGGTGCATTATTTTGAAACCCATAAATACCAGGTTCATTAACTCAGACTAAGTTTAATATGACATCGAAACGAGCTGAGAAAATGGTTAATGTGACCAAAGGACCAACAAAAGCTGCAGTCACAAATGCTAAAATCATTACAGACAGTATACAATGAATAGGACATTATCACAGCAGTAAATATAGTAAATGTTTCAGCTAATCTGGATAACTCAGAATGAGTGAAACCAAGAGTTACGTAAATATAGTGATATAAATAAATTTCAACTTATCTAAATGTTTGGGATGATACAGTAGTGGTAAATCCTATGCCTTCTTTTGTATAGGTTAGACATGAGTAATTTGATAAGTACCATTCAATATCGATAAAGGTTGCTACACCTCCACTGCACTTTTTCGTAGAACTATATCAATACTGTCGAAACAGTTTAAAACCATTTAAAGGGAGTAAATTCTTATCGTATAGGTTGTGCAACCAATGTTCTTGTAATATTATTGCACCAACACTGCGACAAATTTTATGACATAGGAAGCATCGCATATAGTCCACATTACGCACCAGAGATATGCAGTTCAAGCTGAGTATTTCATTGAGTATTGTTTCATGCTATCCCATTCATAATGTCTCTTCTTCTTCAAATTTGTGATATTCATAGCAATATACTCATACCTTTATAAACATTTGCGTGAGTATCTGATATGACGTAAGGCCATACTTAGACCAATTAAAACAAATGAGAACAAAGTGAAATTGATGCACTAAGTAGTATGAAAAGGTTTGGTAGCCCAGGGTTTAAGCAGGCCATCATGTTTTGCATATTGTGATGACGTCATTTTACTTCATTTGATTCTATTTCGTTCTTATGTACAATACCAAAAATCGGCGTAAGCTAAAAATTTCCATCAGATTCAATTTCGTAAACTGCAGACACGTCAGCGATTCACCAAAAAAATTTTTACTTTCAAGTCCGGTAGTAAATTTCGTACTAACATTTTACCTACTATATAAAATACATAAGTAGTTAACAAAGACAAGTGCCTATGAAGACTTGAAACGATGCAGTATACGTTGCGTTGGTTATTAAATTATTATAATTATTATCAATATTATTTGTCCCTTGCGTTCCTAGTGGAACATACAACTTCAGTACCACGTCACAATCAACATTACACTCTCCTCTCTATACTCTCTCTCACTCAACCCACCCACACAACGGCCCACCAGCTTCCATTTCTTCCTCTCATCATCATCAACTTCCTCCATGTCATCCTCAGATGCCACGACCAACTCATCATTTACCATTTCAGTTCCACTCAACAGCCTGGCATGACCTGGCATGGCCTGGTCTGGTCTGGTCTGGTCTGGCCTCGTCTGGCCTGACGCGTGATGTACCCAAATCGTATTCGCAGTGTATGCCAAATCCAATCCATCTCCACTTCCCTCTGCATATTTGTTGGATGACGGGTTCTTAGTTGGTTGATTCGTTGCCACCCAGAGTGACTTCCTCGTTGTTGATTCTTTCTTTCTGACCATCTGATCTGATCTTCAGTATCGAGTGAGTGTAGGTGGTAGCTGTTAACGTGATGGATGTGTGTAGTTTGTTGGAAATGCTTTCCGTGATGCGCCGTCAAGTCTCTCAACCATCACATCGAAGCACTGACTTACTTGACTGAATTGGTGTTGGAAATCCGGATGTTGTTCAGGCTGTATGCTGAGTGGAGTGGAGTGGAGTGGAGTGGGTGGGGTGGGGTGGGGTGGAGTAGAGTGCAGTGCAGTAGATGTCCACAGTGATTTCAGATAGGTGAAGACCTGTCTTGCTGTCTTTCCGATCCTGGCTGCTTTGACATCGTCATCTGTGCCTGTGCCGTCTGTGGTTGAAACGATGCTGCCTAGTTGGGTGGGTGGGTAGGTAGGTAGGTAGGTAGGTGAAGGAGACAACTTCTTTTAAATTTCCACCGTTGATGGTGATTGTTGCCTGTTGTTGTTGTTGTTGGTTAGGTATCTTCATTACCTCTATCTTCTCCACGTTCACTTGAAGTCCAGTCTTCGCCGCCTCATATGCCTCTTTTCTCGATCTTGTGTCTAGTGTGCTGCGTCTCCACTTTCTTCACATCCAGATGAAGTCAACCTAATTTTTGGTGTAGTTTCCATCTAGTGAAATCAAATCCATGTCGCTTTGTGAATGTCCGTGCGTTTGTACACAGTGCCACCAATCAACAATTTATTAAATGCACAGAAGCCTGCAAACAAAACTCTGGTTTTTAAACAACGATATCAAACTTCGTCTAAATAGTAACAGTCATGACAAGTTGAAGTGAGACGAATGTTTAATCTTCGATTTTTATTATAATTCTTTTAGTTTTTCTCCTATGTCTAAAGATTACATGTTTTCAAATATATTTTTATGCTGGGTATCTGGATTATGACAGGTATATAAGCCTGGCCCATGTTTCTCCTTGATAATTGTAAACGAATCTATTACTTCTCCAGTTCTTTCCTACGAAAAGTAAAACAAAAAATAGCATATCAGTAATAAACTAATCAAAATCGGTTTTGAAATTATTCTAATATCCAAAATGCAGAAATTATTGGGTAGTTATTTTTAAAGGTAGATTTAACGTGAATGAAAGAAAGAACTCCTTTGTCGTATTTTCATCTACATAGACCACTGATCAAGTGATTTTCAGATCGGATTAAAGACACACACCAAATTTCGGGAAAATATTACCAACGGTTTTTCAGGCGTGCTGCTGCTGCTGCTATTACTACTAATACTAAAAATCGTCCTGGTTTGAAGTAGTCCAAAATATCTTATTGTCAAGTCTTGAACTGATCAAAATGAATAAAGGATGACTTTTGACTCCATCAGTTTTCTTTTATTCAGTAATGAAAGTATTATGTAACTGTAATGTGTAAGTACGTTTCTGAAGGTATTTTTGACGGTTGTTCATTTTTTAACAGGAAAATTAACAGTAGTGGTTTGACCTATTAACATTTTGTTGATTGATCTGCTGATATCAACTGATAACGTAAACAAAATTCATGTGCAGAATGTTTACTATAACATCCTAAATTTTTATGAAAAACAGACCTATAAAAATATTGAAATTGTCCATATACAAATCTAGTGAATTGATCTGTGTATTAAAAAAACTTCAGGTTTTTAAAAAACACAGTTTTTAATGATGTTCCAAGCAAATAACTGGTGTCATTTTGACATCTTGTCACTTATAAACATGAAGTATGATTAAAATTAATAGTTCAAACCATTTATCAAGTTACATAAATGTCATCTTGAAATCAACTTGCAAATTTCACAAATAAATGAGAAGGTATTCACTACTTTAAACTAATATTTTCTGCTGGAAGTCGTTTGAAGTATTATTTAGGTAATCTTATCACTGATCAATGAAGTGTGATCACTGATCATCAAGAAAGATGGAACGATAGAATCAATTACCCATTGGTGCCTGTTTTGTGTGCACTTAATCACTTTGTGCGTTGAGTCAATCGAGGCTTGAACGGCTTTAGTACTAGATCATGCAGGTTTGAATCAACTCAAAGACAAGCGATTGTCTCATGGTTCCAGATTCGTCTTGCTGATAGTAGCTAGCAAATATGAAGCTTAGGTCACCTAAAGTATCTTTTTAATTAAATGCCAATATCCAGTATTAAGATTAAGAATGTGAAGGTGGACAGTGTTAAATATAACTGAAAATGAGGTTCATATAGCTTGAAAAAGCGTTCAGTGTGCGAAACATTCACTCTGTAATGACCGAATCTCTTTTGTATTATTCTACATATTATAGTTTGGAGGTTTGCGATGATTTGATCAATTTTATGGTAGAATTCATGAACTGGTCTCCTTCAAAGATGAATATTACCCAAAAAATTTCTATTAGTCATCAGGCTTTTCCAGAGAGAGATGGTTATTAACCGTAGGAAGATCGAAGTTTTTCAGTGGTATGCGTGAACACGTCCAACCGAGTACACCACATTGTCCAAATCAATGATATCTGTTCATATAATTTGAACAGAATCAAAATTAAAAAATTTCTCTGAGAAATTTTCACTCCGTTTACAGAAAAAGTTCATTCTTTATACGAAAACTTCACATCAAATGATAACTCGTCCAAATAAATCCGTCTGATCAAAGTTGAATAGAGAAGACCATTACAGCATGGAATAACGTCTTCTCATTGTCTTTACTATACACTAACAAATATATATTGGGTCCCATTAAAGTAGGAAATGGGATCTTAGCCATCCGCTCTTTCCATGAATAGATCAAATATCCACGGAGTATATCATAAACAACAAGCTAAAAATACCGTAAAAACGTCTAGTGGAAAGTCAAAACCCACGAAAATGTAGGATATGAATTTCAAGTCAAAAAGCAACAATGAACACATATTATATCCAAAAAAAGATTTTACTGTTGCACTTTGAACTCAGGAATGAAAATGCTGCAGACATCCTCAAGAAGCGACTGTGACTATCCCTGAACAAAACATTTTCGTAGCCAAGCTCAGAACTACAGCTTAATGTCAAAAAAACATCTCTCAGTTTGTGTAGAATAGGCTGGAGCACTGGACGACATTAGTGCTTGCATCAGTTTGCATACTTCTGTGGAGCTGAATACATTTGTTACACTGTATGCTAGTTGATGAAATGCAACTGTGAGTAATAACCAGACTAGTTGGCAAAGAGATACAGGAATGAATATTCAATGCCGTAATGAAATACTTAAACAGAAACTTGGTAGACTTCTTTTATTTACTGATGATGGAGAGTGACTAACAGTACATTCCAGGAAGCACGTTCCATTTTACTTGGGACTATTCAGCCGAACCCATCTGCCTCCTAGTGAGCGATATTGTCCTCACTTCATACGTCAGAGTGTTATCCACTAAACCGCTGAGTCACGATAACCACTTCCTGACGAGTTCCAAATAGAAAAGAAACACCCGTCCCGGATTTCGCTGTTAGTCACTATCCATCATCAGTAATATCGAGGCATCCACGAAGGAGCCTATACGCCAATAGAAACTGATCATTTCGGTCCACCCAATGACTAGATACTGCAGGTAAAAACATTAGCTTTTTTTGCCTAATCCTTCAAATTCCGCATGACATAATACCAGACCATCCTAAAAGAGATAGAATAAGATATCTGAGCACAGCTGAAGCATTAGCAGTTCAAAATTTCAAATAGTGTAAACTGACTAGTGCCTAACCAATTAAAACCAGTTACGAGCAGATAAGTGTGAAATTTAGCCTGGTAAATAAAACCATCTTACTATTTCAACAATTAGTGTAAACTGCAATAGAAAATAAACTGCCAAATTTATATAAAATCCATTCAGGTTGAACGTATCTCACTGAAACATACTTAATGATATAAATAAATATCTAAATAAGTTGAAGTTCAGGATTATGCATCAAAATTTATTCTAATAGTATTGAATGATGAGGATATTGTTGCACCAACGATTCAACTTCCCACACAACTTGATATCCTAAAGTTGATGAAAGGGCGATTTAAATATCTTTTTATTATTGAATGAGTAAACTAATCACACCTGGCAAATGTTTTCAATTAAAAAGTAAAGATTAGGCCCTGTGGTGGAGTATAATTCCGCATTAGATTGTTTATCTGACATAGCCCAGTGACATAGTATAACTTACTGGGTGGCGCTTCAAGCAAAATTTATTACTCATATTCATACTCATATTTCAAACTTCACCTTCATATAGTACCTTAATAGTAGTAAAATTTTCGAAATATCTGCAGCATATGATGAGTCATTCCTGTTACATGTGTTAGGTGTTGATTCAATGAGCTACGATTCAGTGATTGATCTCTCACTCCACCTAGCTATACTAAATTATAGAAGGGTCATCCTATCACGTCATATAGTGTAATTATGGGTCAGCTAATGCAGAGACACCCAGGCTTTTATTAAGACCAATTATCTAAATAGCATCTATCATCGAACGTTTTGCTAAACGTTTGTATTCTGACATTCGAACTGAAACAGATCAACTGATTTGCCTATATACTGGACCTAAAAACGATTACATGGTATTTCATAGACTAGGTTATCGTACCTATTTGGCTTTGCTTATTCCTTTATCCTATAGAGCTTCTCCCTGAGTGAGTTTGTGTGTTTAAATGACACCTTAATCCAAGAATAACCCCACCTGGTTAACTAGTTAACTAGTTACAAGCCGCTCCCAAGCACGGATAAAGAAACAAAGTTTGACATAGGACTAGCAACCCTACCCCAGAAAACCAATCCAATCACCAAAAGAAACTTCAAAACACAGACTAAATACAAAACATAAAAACAAACTTATTCCTCACCGGAATCGGAAAAGACGAAATAACGCCAGTCGGTGAAAGCCTTCGGCAAGCCAATTTGGCCTATGTTTCTTCTCCCCCTCAATGAAAGTAAAAGTAAACATGGAGACATGGAATCTCCACACAATGTTTGAACCCAGCAAGACTCCCCACATTGCAAGAGACATGAGAAGATATAGCATAGAGGTGCTAGGAATCTGCGAGGAATCTCCAGGTGGAATGGAAGTTGACTCTCCAAACTGTCAACTGGAGAGTCAATAATCTACTCCGATATTGTCACCCAGACGACAACCATGAGCACACGGAGAGAGTGGCTATCATGATGTCCCCAACAGCATCGAAGGCTCTCTCTCACACGGTGGCAACCAATCTCCTCCTGCAGGATCCGGATCATGACAGCAAGGTCCAACTCAAAACGAAGGAAAGTCACAATCATTCAATGCTACCCTGCACAACTACAAATAATGGAGATGAAGAGAAGAAGGAGGAATTCTACAGACAACTGCAATCAGTAATGGGAAAGACAACACCCAGATGGCGACAACAAAATTCTAATGGGTGGGATGACATGAATGCCAAACTGGGAGCGGAAAACACAGGAAGAGAACAAACCATGGGTCGAGAAGCACTCGGTGAGGTGATGAATGAGAATGGAGAATTGTCTGCAGATTCCTGCGCATTCAACGATTTTGTGATTGGAGGCATTGTGTTCAAACACAAGGATATCCACAAAGCAACATGGATTTTATTTCACTAGACACCACATGGACATACTGAAAATCAAATCCACTTCATTTCAATGTGAAGAAGGTGGAGACGCAGCCTGCTGGACACAAGATCAAGAAGGGGAGCAGATGTAGGTTCACACCACTCACTATCTAGTACAAGAGACCTTCAAAATCAAGTTGAAAGCCTCCACAGAAGTTGGTGATGATAGGCAACAGTTTGAGTTCAACAGCCAAAACAGAAACTAAAGGACAAAACTACAAAGGACATCTTCACGTCAGTCAGCCATCAGAATAAAATGGGAGACATTTAGCAGCATCGAGGAAGGAGCATGCGTGGAAGAACACTGAAACTCTTTGAAAGCAATGTGGAGAGAAACCTGAATGATCGTATTCGGAAGAAAGGAGAAGAGGAAACAAGACAAGGAATGGATCTCGACAAACACATGGAAGCTGATGAATGAGGGAGAGGAAGACGGTGAGGCAGAAAATAAACCAGTGAAGTGCATCAGTGAACAACGAAAAAAGGAATTGAAATTAATTTATATACCAGTGATCCGCAAGATACTGTCAGCTTCTCAATAATTTCATCATTCACTGGCTGAAAACCTCAGTCTAGTTTAACCATAGTTTGTAAAACCAATTAAAAATCGGATTGATTATTTTCCTCCATCCACCGTAGTTGCTGGACCACTGAGAAGATTTCAAAAGATTTGGATTTCACCGATGATTTATCTCTGTCTAATCTCGCACAAACTCCAAGATCTACAGACAAATACCAACAAGGGAACAGAACAGGCAGGGCAGCAAAGACGGCACCTCCTCCACGTGAACGTAGAGAAGATAGAGGTAATGAAGATACCTAACCAACAACAACAACAACAACAACAACAGGCAGCAATCACCATCAACGGTGGAAATCTAAACGAAGTTGTCTCCTTCACCTACCTACCCACCCACCCAACTAGACAGTATCGTTTCAACCACAGACGGCACAGGCACAGATGACGATGTCAAAGCAGCCAGGATCGGAAAGACAGCAAGACAGGTCTTCACCTATCTGAAATCAGTGTGGACATCTACTGCACTCTACTCCACCCCACCCCACCCCACTCCACTCAGCATACAGCCTGAACAACATCCGGATTTCCAACACCAATTCAGTCAAGTAAGTCAGTGCTTCGATGTGATGGTTGAGAGACTTGACGGCGCATCACGGAAAGCATTTCCAACAAACTACACACATCCATCACGTTAACAGCTACCACCTACACTCACTCGATACTGAGGATCAGATCAGATGGTCAGAAAGAAAGAATGAGCAACGAGGAAGTCACTCTGGGTAGCAACGAACCAACCAACTGAGAATTTAAGCTTTTTCCTTCTCATCTCTTTATTTTGCAACTCAACGCAGGCAACTCTCCTCCTTTATCTTGTAATTCGTGAGTGAATTGAAATGCAGATATCCGGAAACTTTTACTAACATTAAGACAAAAGAATGAAGACTGTTTAACTGTATAAAGGAAACATGAAAGTCATATGTTCACTTTCATATGAATATGACCAATAAATTCTGCTTGAAACGTCATCCAGTAAATTACACTGTAATAATGTATGCTGCATCTACCAAATAAATAACCTGATATGAAATGTTTGCAATGTTTACCTAATCTTATCTTCACTCCTTTTCTTCTTTTTACACCACAACGGTTGCTGTCAATGGACTTCACCTGATTGAAATTCAGTTTTATGCTATGACCAGAAAGTTACCTTTTACATACAGCTGATGAGAAGTCACTGATGAAAAATCTGCTTATATTATCATGTTTTAGTTATCAGGTTAGTTCTGCTTATGGTCTGTATTAGCTGATAATCTATATTATTAAATTATAAGGCTGTAATCTATCCTTTTAATTACTTGTAGTGCACTAAGTTGTACTGCATTTCTGGTAATAAAGTTACTTGGTTCTGTTACCTTCTTTCTTTAAGTGGTATCACTACTGGATACCAGATACCAGAAATACTTTAACGGTTCTTTTTAAAAGAACAAAGCCAGAATTGTTGTTTTCATGGATAATTTAGCGATGCATGGTTCAGATTTTCACAACTACTCAAATAAAATGGAATTCAGAGTTTAGGCAAACAGGTTTTGGTATACTTTAGAAGTTATTTTTAATTTTTATTAATATTGCCAAAGCTTGGACAACCATACATTGTTTGTATAACGTAGGTAGTCGTAACAGCTCACCAGATATTGACAGTTGGCGGTTAGATGAAATGTTATCCTATCGGGTAGAATGCAGAGTATTTTGAGAGTAGAGAAAAGTGGAGTTCATAACAACTAACACACGTGTTCACGTGTATTCCTGGATACCTAGGTATTTCACTGCTGAAAATTAAACTTGCTATCACTCAAGTACATTACCTTTATCCATACGCCTTGTGTGTAATGAAAATTGAATCTGTACCTAATCCTCTTTCTTAACACAGATCGCTTACTAATAATGCCTCTTTCCACAATAACAACTCACACTGGATTGACTCTTCTAGAGATGTCAATACTCACATGTTTTCTGATGAGACCAATAGAACACATAACCCTGGACCTTGTGTTCTTACCGGTGGTCTACTAACACCTAAAGTCCAAGATTACCGTTCTTATCATCGAATCGGATTCCATACTAATAACTCATCTAAGAATGAAGTAGCAAGTCAAATTTGAGTTAAATCACAAGTGCAATTCGTTTGAAAAAGTGAAGTGTGCAGGTTACGTCTTACCAAAACATCAGTGATAACATGAAAACAAATGAGCTAACTGTACTGTCATTCAATTAAATAAACATATATAATACTTACTTTTTCAACTGAAACTTGTTCGATTTCCAGATGAGTGTAATTATGCACTACCATACGAGTGAATCCAAAGTCATTTGATCGAAAAGCTGACCATGGCTTACCACCATCTAAAAATGCATCTTTTCCTTCATCTGATCCAGCAGCTCCACTAACAATGTGGACTGGAGCATTCGGATTTTCGTATGGATTTCGACTAGTAGTAGAATTACAAACCTAAATACAAAGAATACAAGAGAAAAGTTAGAAATGGCATATGGATATTCATAAAATAAAAAAGAATAGTCAGCTAACTAGATAAAACTTGCTGTATACATTCTAATTGATGAAGACCATTCGACTGTTAGGTTACGAATAACTGTGAAACGAAAGGCTTTAGCACAAGAGTCACAGGGTATAAGTACTTTGTTGTTTTACAAAGCAAATGGAGTGTATTCTAGATACCTCCAACCAGCAGTACCTAAAAAGTATGGTAACATACTTTTCATGTCTATATGAAAGCCAAATCTTCTTGAGTTGTTGTATGATATTAGACTAAACAGATCCCTTCTGTTATAAATTGATTACTAGGCAGCTAAAGTGATCAAGACACTGAGTACTATCTGAATTATCTTTCCCTTTTATCATTTATTATTCTTAATATTCGTCCCTTGGGTTCCTAGTGGAACATAGGGCTTCAGTAGCACGTCTCCAGTACGCTCTGTTCTCTGCAGTCTCCCCCAACCTGGCTCCACAACAGCCCAGAAACTCTCATTTCTTCCGCATACGATCTCCTCCATGTCACCCTCAGATGGGACACCCAACTCATCGTTTCTCATCTGGGTTCCACTTGAGGGACTGACACATGATGTCCCCAGTCGGCCTTCTCAGTGTATGTCCAATCCATCTCCAATTTCTTCTGCATACTTGTTGAGTAATAGCTTCTTGGTTGGTTCGTTCCCGGAGCTTCTTGCTGCATATTCTTCCTGGCCGTTTCAGCTTCAGTATCGGGCAAGCGTGGGCAGTTGTTGATAAATGTATGTAGTCCCTTGAAAATGCCTTTCGCAACGTGCCAAGTCTCTCAACCATCACATGGAAGCATTAACTTGACGTTGGTGTTGAAAAATCCGGATGTTGTTCCACATGCTGAGGCACACACATACACTGGTTTCAGGCTAATGAACACCTGCCTTGCTTTTCCGATCCTGGCTTTGACATCCTCGTCTGTGCCCATGCCGCCTGAAGTTGAAACGATGCTGCCTAGATAGGTGAAAGAGGCTACTTCCTTTAAGTTTCTCCCGTTGATGATGGTTGGAGCTTCTTGTTGTTGGTCGGGTATCTTCATCACCTCCGTCTTATCTACGTTCACCTGAAGGAAGTCCCGTCCTCTCCACACTGCCTCTTATATCAACTTGTTGGATTTCGCCTGTAGATCTTCAAGTTTGTGTGACATTAGGCATAAATCATCATTGGCGAAACCCTAATCTTCTAGGCTATTTTCATCAGTCAAACAGCATATGCCCATCTTCTCGCTCCTCATGGTTTGCTGTATGATCCAGTCGACCACAATCAGGGATATCAGGGGTGATAGTACGCAGTATTGTTTTACTAATGTCTTCACCTAAAAGGCATCACTGAGCTTCCCATTGTGAATTACTTGACATGTGGCATCCTCATATAGTTGTTGAATGAGATTGATAAAGGTTTGTGGTATTCTGTAGTGTTGAAACAGCTGCCTGTCACATTACTTCTCGGTCGACGCTGTCAAAGGCCTTCTCAAAGTCGATGAAGTTGAGGTGTAGAGTTGACTGCCATTCTATACTCTGTTCTATGATGATGTGAAGGGTTGAAATTTGGTCCTCATATAATTTGTTCTTCCTGAATCCAGCAAGCCTGTTCCGGTCGTAATTTTGAATCCAGCGCATCCTTTAGACTTTCCAAGATGGTGCGGCTTAATATTTTGCTTCGGGTGCATAGAAGCATGATTTCTCGTCAGTTCCTGCAAACACTTAGGTCGCCCTTCTTTGGGATTTGACAAGGTAACCCTTCTTCTAATCTGCAGGTACCTTCCCTTCCCTCCAGACCTCCTGCAGTAGCACCGTGAGCATGCATTGAAATGAAGTCGATTCGATTTTCAGTGTGTCTATGTGGTGTCTAGTGAAATAAAATCCATGTTGCTTTGTGGATATCCTTGTGTTTGAACACAATGCCTCCAATCACAAAATCGTTGAATGCGCAGGAATCTGCAGACAATTCTCCATTCTCATTCATCACCTCACCGAGTGCTTCTCGACCCATGGTTTGTTCTCTTCCTGTGTTTTCCGCTCCCAGTTTGGCATTCATGTCATCCCACCCATTAGAATTTTGTTGTCGCCATCTGGGTGTTGTCTTTCCCATTACTGATTGCAGTTGTCTGTAGAATTCCTCCTTCTTCTCTTCATCTCCATTATTTGTAGTTGTGCAGGGTAGCATTGAATGATTGTGACTTTCCTTCGTTTTGAGTTGGACCTTGCTGTCATGATCCGGATCCTGCAGGAGGAGATTGGTTGCCACCGTGTGAGAGAGAGCCTTCGATGCTGTTGGGGACATCATGATAGCCACTCTCTCCGTGTGCTCATGGTTGTCGTCTGGGTGACAATATCGGAGTAGATTATTGACTCTCCAGTTGACAGTTTGGAGAGTCAACTTCCATTCCACCTGGAGATTCCTCGCAGATTCCTAGCACCTCTATGCTATATCTTCTCATGTCTCTTGCAATGTGGGGAGTCTTGCTGGGTTCAAACATTGTGTGGAGATTCCATGTCTCCATGTTTACTTTTACTTTCATTGAGGGGGAGAAGAAACATAGGCCAAATTGGCTTGCCGAAGGCTTTCACCGACTGGCGTTATTTCGTCTTTTCCGATTCCGGTGAGGAATAAGTTTGTTTTTATGTTTTGTATTTAGTCTGTGTTTTGAAGTTTCTTTTGGTGATTGGATTGGTTTTCTGGGGTAGGGTTGCTAGTCCTATGTGCTATGTCCTATGACATCATTTATCGAACCATCGGAAAATAAGAAAAAGTCAACAAATATGTCGTCGTATTGTGGTATTTTTTTAGCAACATTCACCTACTATATCATTCAGAGTCAAGTCTGGGTTGATTTGTAATTGTATACATATTTCAAAGCTCATTAGTTTATGGTGTAGTACGCCAATCAGCCAATGTCAATGATACTTCCATACTAAATATGTTTAGGTTTGTTAAAAATGCGATAGAACCAATTAAGTAAAATAATCTAATGTGTCAAATTCCACTCAATGACTTTAACTTCATGTTCATAGGTCAAACTAGCCGGTCAGGGTCGTTTAGATTAGTGGAATTTAGTTAAACATAGGATGACAGACTCGAATCAGATCAATAATCTAGGAAAACCTCGGTTACTGCAATGCATACATTAACACTACCACACAATAGAGTAGGGTAAAACCAATATACCTAAGTCTTATACAATTAGGTGGAGAGAGAGGCTGATTAATGAATCTTTATTCATCGAATCAACACCCAACCAACACATAATATGAATGATGCGACACCTATGCAGGAGATATGGAAAATTTTACTACTAATAAAATCAAATAATATAAGGTGACAGGACTACAAAAATCAGATATCGAAAGCGATGTGATGACATAGACATGATTCTCAGTAATAATTTATTCTTGGAACGCCATCAAGTAAATAATAATGTATCACTGTGGGTTATAAACCAAAAAAAAACTAATCCAATAGGGAAATACGTTCTACCAAAGTGCTGGAGTTTTTCACATATGAATTTCGATTACTTTATTAGAAAGCGAAGATTATCTGAACAATGCGATGTGGTTGAGCAATACATTTTAAACAGTCTGATCATATATTTACTCATCAGGTCAATTTATGTATGAGAATGAAAGGAAAAATGAAAGATGAAGTATAATGAATATGAAAATGTTATGACACTAGTCTTGGTATTATAATCAGATAAGGATTACTAAAGTAAACATATTATCAGAATTAAACATAAGGGTTAATACGAAAACAGAATTTAAGATATTTTTATTAGTTAGGAACAGTCAGGGGAGCATACTGATAATCTTCACCTTCTAATAACATTGCTGAGATTTATTAAAGGAACTAATTGCTTCGAAGATAAATTAACGTCAATGATAAGTTGGCATTTTCAATTCCCACCTTGTAAATATGTAACCGCTTATAAGACGAAGCATATTAATCATTATATACTAATGATGGGTAGCGGCTGGAAGTAGAATCCAGGACGCGGTTTCTGTCTTATTTTGGAGATGTCAGCAGAATGCACATGCCTCCCAGCTAGTGTTTCTACCTGGACTCGAACTCCGTACCGACGGCATCAAACGCCAGACCGCTAGGTCGTTGGTTGGGAATGAACATAGTGAATAAGGATGCAATCAAAATTCATTTAGTTATTCTCTGAGTTCATTCTTTTAGGAATGGAGTGGATACATTGGATGATCACTGAAGAGTAACCAATCTCATGCTGTCTAGTCACGAGTGTTGACCGAATTCGACAGATCATTTTGCAGTTTGGTCACCAAGCTATGAGACTCATCATCATGGCGTATATAAGTTGATTTTAGTTGGTCAAAGTCTCCTAGTTTAGTGATCACATTACAAAATGATCCCTAAAATTCAGTCCGTACTCGTGACTGTATTAGCTGAAATATTTTTTATTCATTCTAATTGATACATCCTCATGGCATCGCCGAAATTTCGTTACAGCTGCGTTGGATCGCTTTGATAATATTCACGAGCATTAGCACCTTAGGTTTTTGCATTTTTGATAATGATTATTAAGCAAGACATTTTCAGTTCCATTGTTACTTTAATGCTGAGCACATTCTGAAATTAAAGACTTTAAACGTTTCGTAAAACATGTGTCAATCGTCAATAAATGACACTAGCCTACATTCACTATAGAAGTATTCACCATAGACTGACATCAGCTGAGGAACCATTGGAAATCTAGGATTACTGGACAGCTGTTTCGTCCTGGTATGGGAATCCTCAGCAGTGCGCACCCACTACCCGGCTAGGAATCGGACTCACAACCCTCAGGTTTCACGGCGAATGCGGCAAACATTCAGCCACTGGGTCGATTTCCAGAGGTTCACAATTCCTGACCTGTGGTAGTTCGCGACACAGCGCGACTATCACCAAGGTCTTCAGTTAGCATCCGCTTTACTAACGAGTGGTTGACCCTACAGGTAACGGCTTCTCATTAGAGCTTCATGATATCCATCTAGAAGCAAGTCACAAATGAGCACTGTACAGCAATATATTTTTGAGATGAATGGGGATTTTAATTTAGAAGTAGTATTCATCAGCTGGGGAACCACTGAAAATCTGGGAGCACTGGACAGCTGTTTCGTCCCAGTATGGGACTTCCTAGTTGGGTCGTGGGTGCACACTGCTGGGGAGTCCCACACTGGGACGAAACAGCTGTCCAGTGCTCCCAGATTTTCAATGGTTCCCCAACTCATGCCAGTCCATGATGAATACTACTTCTTAATTAAAAATCCCATTCATCTAAAAAAATTCACCATGTTATTCCGAAAATGTACTCAGCTTGAAATTTCATTTGTTTCAAAATCCTTTTTTAGTTTACAAAACGTTTCAGTGAACTAAGACAACTCCTGTCAGATACATACTCTTCAGGCATGAGAGTTATCTACTAGTTCTAAGCAGGTATACGAATAGACGTATGTTAACAACAGTGTGAATTTCTATAGGGAAAAATAGACGAAATCAAATGATAAGGGAATCTTTTTCGATAAACAACCGTGTATATGATGACGTCAGAGTCTGATGCACATAAAATACAGGCATGTGAATGACAGTTTGTTATATGTTTGGCACTGTATGATTAAAACCGAATATCCCATTGAATTTTATCCAAAGATCTCTAGATATCTGATACAAAATGACATATTTGTCTATTGTGAACCTGTTCCTCAAGAAACCTCCAAAATGAGTAATATTCTTTTAATTTTATCATTGGACCTTTTACTCAAGTGAGAAAGGTACGAAAAATCAGTTTTAAGTTGCTTCTTTAACTTATATTTATCTCTTTGAATAGTCCTTTTTTCAAAAAAGGATTCCGATATGAAATGGTACAACGTGAACTGATACACCTCTATACCAACTTCTAGGCCAATCTCACTGTCTGTCTGAATATACCAGTGATCTCTAAGATACTGTCAGCTTCTCAATAATTTCATCATTCACTGGCTGAAAACCTCAGTCTAGTTTAACCATAGTTTGTAAAACCAATTAAAAATCGGATTGATTATTTTCCTCCATCCACCGTAGTTGCTGGACCACTGAGAAGATTTCAAAAGATTTGGATTTCACCGATGATTTATCTCTGTCTAATCTCGCACAAACTCCAAGATCTACAGACAAATACCAACAAGGGAACAGAACAGGCAGGGCAGCAAAGACGGCACCTCCTCCACGTGAACGTAGAGAAGATAGAGGTAATGAAGATACCTAACCAACAACAACAACAACAACAACAACAGGCAGCAATCACCATCAACGGTGGAAATCTAAACGAAGTTGTCTCCTTCACCTACCTACCCACCCACCCAACTAGACAGTATCGTTTCAACCACAGACGGCACAGGCACAGATGACGATGTCAAAGCAGCCAGGATCGGAAAGACAGCAAGACAGGTCTTCACCTATCTGAAATCAGTGTGGACATCTACTGATCTCCACTACACTCCACTCCACTCCACTCCACTCAGCATACAGCCTGAACAACATCCGGATTTTCAACACCAATTCAGTCAAGTAAGTCAGTGCTTCGATGTGATGGTTGAGAGACTTGACGGCGCATCACGAAAAGCATTTCCAACAAACTACACACATCCATCACGTTAACAGCTACCACCTACACTCACTCGATACTGAGGATCAGATCAGATGGTCAGAAAGAAAGAATGAGCAACGAGGAAGTCACTCTGGGTGGCAACGAATCAACCAACTAAGAACCCGTCACCCAACAAATATGCAGAGGATTTGGCATACACTGAGAATACGATTTGGGTACATCTCGCATCAGGCCAGACCAGGCCAGGCAAGGCCATGCCAGGTCATGCCAAACTGTCGAGTGGAACTGAAATGGTAAATGAGGAGTTGGTCGTGGCATCTGAGGGTGACATGGAGGAAGTTGATGATGATGTGAGGAAGAAATGGAAGCTGGTGGGCTGTTGTGTAGGTGGGTTGAGTGAGAGAGAGAGAGAGTATAGAGAGGAGAGTGTAATGTTGATTTTGACGTGCTACTGAAGTTGTATGTTCCACTATGAACGCAAGGGACAAATGATTATGATGAAATCCGGTGTAATTACTTTAATATTAAATCCCATAGTACCAGGAAAATCTTGATAGATACTTCTGATTCGACACACGCGTATATATATATATATATATATATATATATATATATATATATATGTAATTCCACTGTGAACCTGGAAATCCGTTTTCTTTAAACGAAATACATTTGTCCAAGTTCTTATCTGTCATAAGTTGATATCCATCACTGACTGATGTCATATCTGAGAAACATTCAAAATCTTGGAGAAGTGAACGGCTGTTCTAGTAAGGAACTCCTCAGCATTGGAAACCGAAGACCATCAGGTTTTGCAAATAGCTCCTTACCATTAAGCCAGTGGGTGGGAATCCGATCATTTACACTTTACTGCTTCTATCATTCCGTAATATATCACAAACTTCATGCAAGGCTATTGTTAATTATTTGTCTACACGCTCGACCTAGTTTCCACCACCGATCACAAATTTTCATTCAAACTTCTAGAAATCTGATTCTGAAACAAGCCACTGGTAAATACTGAACAGTCTGTGAGTATGTAGGGATTTATTGACTTCAGGTTGCTTCCAAATGCTCAGAAATGACCGAAGTTTATCGATCAAGTTCTCTTCATGATCAGTACACGGAATGACACAGTAGTATGGTATGCTATGTAGTGTTAGTCGGGGAGGAATTTCAACGACCAACTAAAATATTTTATTCTTCAGATAACTAATGCTTAAAAACTCACTGTCCTATTGTAAACTGGCCAAAATCTTTCGTAAGAATGTTCATGACCAGCAACAATTAAATCTACACCATTCTTGTAGAATAAATCTTCTAATCCCAATATATATTTTTTATATTGCCAATGGTGTGTTACAGCAAAGCCAGTACGTATGATATTATCAACAAAATCACAATGCATAGGATCAAAATTATTTGAACAATACATTGGTCTATGCCCCATTACAATAATCCATGGATGAATTTTACGATTCTCAGGTTTATTCGCTTCCTTTAAAAAGAGAAAACAGAATAAATAGAACTAAAATTGAAAAGATAAACAAATAGTTATTGTGATAAAGCAATTTCATTGCAGATTGAAATACCTTGCAGTAAATACTACGTGGAAGATAAAACAGTTGAAAAACTCCAAACTTTAAAGATAATGCTTGAGAATTACTAAATTATTAATTCAGTTTTTCCCCATTTAACTCTGACTCATTTCAAGATCATTTCAATCAGGTTTTGATGAGATCAATTTATTCAGTTTTTGCGATGAAAAATAGACAGTTATGTACTTTTATTTCAAGACAGTTTCCATTACTAATTAACATGTTTGAAAAGCGTTGAAAGTCAAGAGGAGCTGAACACCTGTTTTACAAACATTTGGGATGCACAACCGCATCCGAGATAGATGACAAAAAGCTGAAAATGTTCTTAAACTAAGCAATTGAATAAGAATTCAACACCCATGGTTTACCTATTAGAGAAGAATTACTGAAACTTAAATGATGAATTATAATTTCCTCTGTTAACCAAATGAGATATGAGGATAAGTGCAGACCGACGACATTTGATCACTGTTACACTGTGCTTTTAACTATCGGGTCAAAACTTAAGATAAAAAAGCTGTTCACTGCCTCCTGGTACCCTGGTTGATGTCAGTCACTGATGAGAGATCCCTTGAAGGTAATACCTCTCTCATTTGCACGACAGCTATGTAGAAATATCAGATGGATAAAGCGAAGTGATTAACAGTTGGGTCTTTTAGGCTAACGGAAAGAGTACCGGCCTGATAACCTTGAGGTTGTTCGTTTTAATCTTTTCTTGGTTCAGGCTTCCCACAACATCCTTCATCTTCCTTGTGCATACTACTGATGAAGGTATATACGTCGGTGAAATTATCTCATATTTGTAGCAGGTATGTATTTAAATACATGTTTATTCAGTTCATTCTAGGAATCTGTGTCTCAAGCGACTCGGTAATCCATTCACTCATTTAGTAATCTTTCATCAATGGAGCTGCGCACTAGCATTATTCTCACATTCTGAGACTCATTGCAACACTTAACAACTGTGGGAGTTAGAAGTAAAACTACTTTACAAAGTTTCCGGGGATAGTGACTATCCAACCAACTTCATCAAGAAATCCTTATCAAAAGTACACGCATCGTAATAATGACCTCAGTCTATAAAAGAATCACACTGCCATAAATCAAAGATGTCTCAGAAACTGGCGACTGATTATTTGACCAATACAATGTGGTACATAAATTGAACAAAATCTCTGCAGAACATGTAAGTCAAGATACAGGATACGCTAACCAAAGAAGACACGATGAATACAGTCTACAAAATTATTTGCAAGGACTGTCAACAATACTCTGTTGGCCAGACCACTCGTAGCATAGGCTACAGAGTTCATGAGCACTGACTTGCATTCAAACTACATGATATATCCTCATTGATGTTAATATATGTATGTGAATTTAATCACAACTTCTGTTGGGACAACATGGAAAAACTACAACAAGCCAGTCCAAAACTTCCAAGCGAGTTCCTGGAAGCATGGTACTTCAATCAAACAGAAATCGACAGACACGTGGACACTGACCCTAATAAAGGATCAGTCAGCTGCAAATCACTGATCTAGTCCTATGGTCAGACATCAGGTCATTGGGATAATTTAAAGGATAAAGTATTACAAAGGTCAACCTCCAATAAAAAAGGTGGGTGATAGATCATCCCTACGCTCAACCCAATAACATTCAAGGTTACCGAATATCCTTTATAAACATTCATGCAACTTAAAAACGCTTCACTTCTACACGGAGTAAGAGCTATTGAAGCCGCCCAACCTGGAGGTAAAGTGTCCATGGGACAAAACTCGAAGCTCTGAGAGCACCAGGTTGTCATTTTCCTCATCCTGAGCAACAAATCTCCTTTGCTCGCTCGCACAGCCTCTATCATATGCAACTGAAATCAATGAAACAGTGTAATCTAGAGACTTATTTGGCCGTAATAGAACGACAGCGTGTCGTTTGTATGTCACTTAAACCACTGTATTTGATTTTGCTTACTGCTTCTTATCAATTCATTGAAATGAATTTTCCCGACCACTCATTAATTAATTCACCTTTTCCAAGTGGGCCTAAGTAGAAATTTGTATCTTAACGATCAGTTTTTTGGATGTATAATATGTTTTCAAAGTGCATACAGCAGGTAACCTAATAATCTGAAGATTTTGTTACGAAATAGTGGAGAATATTTGCAACTCAGGTGGATGATCTTGATTGTCTAATTTGGGGGTTTGTGAGGATTTATTGATTTCAAGTTAGCATTCATCATGGACTGACATCAGTTGGAGGGACATTGGAAACCTGGGAGCACTGGACAGGTGTTTCGTCCTAGTATGGGACTCCTCGTCAGTGCACACCAGCGACTCCGCAAACCCCCAGATTCAACTGATCTAGTGCTTATTAATGACTAGCTTTGAGACTTGACTCCTGAAGTTCCAGTGAGAAGTCGTGACCGGTGGAGCCAACCAAATCAAACATAACGACAGTTACTCAACGGCAGTATTGAATGGAAGTGGCGCTATATCGTGAAATGACACGAGTAGGAAATGTAAACTACTGGATTCTAATCCAGTGGCTCAATAATAACGTGCTAGCCATAGATCCTGAGGGTCCTGGGTTCGATCCCTGGTGAGGCAGGGTCGTAGGTGCTTGCTGGTGAAGAGTCCCGTACTAAGACGAAACAGCTATCCGGCGCTCCCAGGTTTCTAATATTCTTTCAACTAATGTTAGTTCATGATGAACATCAACCTGAAATCAATAAATCCCCATGAACCTTCAAAATGAACAAATGTATCAAGTTGTATACTATTCAGAACAAAAATGTTGAAATACTTTATTCTTCTTCTTTTGAAGATTGTAGACAAAATATAAATTATCTTTCAAAGTTGTGAGGACATACAAAATTTTTTGCAACTACTTTCATCTTAAGACTCCATCATCATTATTAAATGAGGCAACAGAGTAATTATGAAGTTCAGTTACATGACTGTACTATAGCAATCATTTAGGTGATATGTTACACAAAAAGGATCACAATGGTTATCAAAACAAACTTTACTTCTCCCAAGTAAAATAAATTTGAATGGGTCATGATCCATCCAACTAACTTCGTATATTTCAATATTAAGTAAAATGAGGACCCATTTTATCCTTAAATACATCGGAATCTTTGGTGAAATGAATAACAATATAAAGATAAGCTTTCTATGTATACAATACAAGGAATTTATTTTAGATGACTTTTAATAAGCTGTTGCAACAAGTTCAAAAATACTGCACAATGATCCTCTGAAGACCATTTAACTTAGAAAGATGAAGTTTGTCAAATGATTATAGACAAGTAAATATGAACTTACATTTAAATCTCTTATCAACCAATCATATTGCGCTACTACAGATTCCCAACCATAAAAGAGAAAATAGTATAATTCACTAGAAAAAGCTACAATATGCGCAGGTCCAACGTTGAAACTAAAAACAAATATAGCAATATTATAAATTCAAAAATAGTCACCATGATATTAAAGCTAAAAAAACGAAAGAATTAGGTCTCAAAGTGATAAGTTATGAGTATTTAATCAGTGTTCAACAGAAACGACAACACTTGCGAACAAACATCAAAATGAGATTTTGTGTTAAATAAGAAATGTATCTTTACTGCATGAGTACACAAACGATGTGTACACGATTTTCGTGAATGGTAAAAGTTATTATAATGGCCATATAGTTGTCAGTATGACTCACTTATATAAGTATCATTATCATGAAAATAAGCGGAATTTAATGCTTAGTTATTTTCGAAATCTTAGCATCAGTCTATGAAGTCTCTGACCATCATCCTCAGTCATGTAGAAAAATGTATACTTCTTAGTTAGCGTCAAAGGTCCAGCCGAAATAAGTGGCTGTGAACTCTGAGTCATATGTCTCTTAAGCGATCACAATAGCTCTAATGCATTGCGTATCGTAATCGTCACTGTGTATTCTGCTGGTCCTACCTCCCCTTCCTCTATTCAAGTGACTTTCAAAAACGTTTTTTCACATTTCTCCCTTTCATTTTCCGTCATTTATGTCGCTGTTTTGTAGCTTGCCGTACTGATATGCAAAATCTGACCATTATCCTTTGATGTTAAATTGAGTAACATTCCAGTTATTTGACTATAATTCGAACCATCATAATCGGGTCTAGTACTGCATACGCACCGATTACGACAGATTGACCCACCTCGACTATAAACAAAATACAAGGCTATAATAAATGAAGTAAGATGGGGCAAAATCCTAAACACCTGCCATACATATCGTCTGGGAAATTGTCTTCGACTCATAGGAAACTTATTTTGTCACATGGAACTAAAATTTAACAGATATATAAATACTTTTTGACGAAATTATTCTTAGCTGTCTGGGTTTGCAGCTTTGACAACTTTTAAAGCTTGGAAAAATGTAGGTTCTTGGAAAAAATTATCTACATCCTTCCAAATAGGTAGTTTAGATAAAGTAAGTAAGTTTAAACATTCAGTAAAGGTCTTGATCTAACGATGGATAAGTAATAGAAGGTGGTTTCTGTAAGGATGAGTCTGGAAATTTGTCACTTTTGGGAATTCTTTTGACCACTACTTCATTTAGTAGTATCATTACTTGTTAGAAAGTAAAGGATTAGATTTAGAGGATATTCATTTAAATGTATTAATTTCGGATTTTGATTTCCCTGTTATCTACGTTGGTACGATATGATCTATTGAATTAAAACCATTTTGCTTGCACCAATACTGTTTCCATAGGGGCTAATATCAAAAAGCATCTCCTCACTTATTAGCAAAATAACCACTGGACTTTAAAAAGAATGAATCAAAGGGTTCAGGTCTTGTTTCACTCAATGTGGTTCACGTAACTATGTAGTACTACATATTTCTTCTAACTGCTTTGAAATACCGTTTAGTATTCGAACTCATACATGACCGTTGAACTGTTTAAAAGATTTTTTTGAAGCATGATTTTCTAAGTGGTAGTTTGTTTAAGATTTACATTAATTTGACGATTTCAACTGATTACTGTATAAAAATTATTCTTGAATATAGCTACCACCAATGGAAATTAGGGATATCGTAGTAAAAACCTAAACTACTCATAATCCATTAGTATAATTATTTTTATATTTTGCCGCCGCTGAATTGATCGGTCTCTTTTGACAAATGGGCTCCAGTGCGGATGCCTCGATACTACCTGTGTTCTAATTATGGTAATGATGGATAGTGGCCAGCAGTGGAATCCAGGATGTGCATTTCGTCCTATTTGAGACTTATCAGCTGGACGTACCTGCTCCCCAGTGAGCGATGTTGTTCCCACTAAGATACGGATTTGAATGCGATCGCTTCAAACGCCAGAGCGTTTTCCATTACACTACCGAGCCACGATAGCCACTTCTTGAGCGACGGGTATAGTTTTAGTATAATTACTCGTATCATACCGTCGTTTATCAGACCTAGTTGATCGGTCTCTATTGGCATAAGGGCTCCTGAGTCGGAATCCCGATGGTAACAACATTATTCACAGGGAAGCTAGTACATCCAGCTGATGAGTCCCAAATGGGACGAAATGCGCATCCTGAATTCTACTGCTAGCCACCATCATTACTCATAATCCACATTTGATTCCTGAAGACATCTGAAGCGTTTGGTGCTTTCTAGCACAAAATTAAATTTGACCTATGCTTTGCTGAACCAATTATTAAACTCATTAGTTAGTTTTCACTATTAAAGAGATGGCTTTTTAACCATCCAATAATATTCTGTTTCGCTTCACACATTGTTTACTCTCAAAATACCAAAAACAGCTAGTGTATGCCCATACAACGAATCCACGGGGAATAGCCTTCAGAATTACCAAACTTTTTGTTTGTATACCGCCATCTTTCAATGTCATGCCATAAAACATCAACGTACATTGATACTGATTATTAATTGGGGGTGGAACAAAAATTAGAGTTACAGTCTCCAGTTAGCTACCATGGTAGTCAACATGATGTAACTTCTAGAACTATTTCGTCCCCGTCTTCTTCTTGTTCAATCAACATTATTCTTTGCTTTCCGATTTTAAAGTAATTACTGATTGCACATAACTGACCATCTAGAGGCAATAGGTTTGAGTCCTGCCGTGACCTAGCTTTTTATTTCGCCTTAAATCATCACCCAATATCAATAATACAAGTCTGCCGAACTACTATTATTCTAGATAGTCAAGCTGATAAGGAGTATATATCCTGGATGTCATCACGCTGTTAAACATTCTCAAGCCTAACCTTTTATTAGCAAATAAAGCAAAGTTACGTAAAAACTATGAACGTAGATGTCCCAATATCTACAGTGTTTACAACTGATTGAAGTGTGCTATGAATAGTCATGATAAATGAGTAGGTTAAACTTGACTCCATAAGTTAACAACTTCTGTGGCTTCTTCTCACAGTAAAAGTGATGCCACAGGGTTCGTTAATGAGAAAGCTGAGATTTAAATAATATCTGATCTATAGCAGTGTCTTTTTTGACAACAAAAAATGAAGTAGTCGAATAAATTAACCACATTACTTCCCTGATAGATTACTGGCTAACGAAATTCGAGCATCACTACAAGACGCTAAATTCACTAAGACTAATATCGAAGAGCTTTGATACCAAAAAGATATTGAAAAGTTGACTGGATTCTACCGTAATTTATCATTTTATACGCTGAAGAAAATGGCCATCAAAGATTCAGGATTCGCATTTGTCTGATAGACAGTGATGGCACTTTCGTGGGGAAAATGTTTAGCCCAGATTCGACATGCCACAAAAAGAAAACTGTAAGCCTCTACAGACCAAGAGGTAGGATGTTTGTTTTGTATATAGCAACCCATTATCTACCGTAACTTGTAACGTTAGCTAAAGTAGGATTTAACTTAATGAAAGCCTTCACTAATTAATGAAACCTTAGACTGGTATTGTAAGAGATGTGAGAGAGTACAGGCTACCTGGATAGAGTCGGCATGATAATCGAAATAGTTGGCTAGAGACACTGGGGGATATAGCTGAAAATATGTCACAGTGGTACAGATGTACTAGCCATTAAAACAATACCACCATATGTTTCTTTGTCACTTAATTCTTATTCTGCCAGTATTACAGCATTTAACAAATCCGGATACTGTTAGTTAATAAAGTCATCTTTCTTTTACTGGGTTTTCAATGTGCTAGTGAATAGTGTAATGACAATGTTCCACACGTAACGATCGTAGGTTCCATATTATTGATTAGAACTCTTTGTAAACTAATTCATCGAATATCTGGTGCGTTTAAATTTTGTAATAAATGGCCTCCTCGATGTGAAGAGAACTTTATTTCTCGTAAATACATATCTCTGTGTGTTAATATCATGAAATATCACATACATTCTGTGCCTGGCTGAGAGTGTTTCTTTGTTTTTCCGAGACTTGAAAAACCATTCTGCTAATTATCATGTACTGTGCACAGATTGCAGTTGCTACTCTCCACTCGGTTTTCTCCCCATAATTGTTAGCTATATTTTCAACGCAAAGCAGTAACAATGATAGTGTACTACCCCCGACTTATTTTCTATGGTCGGAGTAAAGAATTACGAGATACGAAGCTAAATCCTTCTTCTTTGCTACTAAATGGAAGTTACTAGTTATTGTAAAAATGGACTTTTTGTCACAACGGATACTTAGCTATCAACACACTATGTATCAAAATTCAGTTAACAAGAGACTATTGCGACTCATTAGCCTGGTGGATGACGCTTTAGGGTTCAACGGAGAGGACGTATTCAAGTGTCTCAAATCCCTGGACCCTTTCTATAGTTTAGGTCTGGATGGTATGTCAAGCTTCCCATCTATGAAGTGTACTGATATCTTATGCCATACATTAGCTAACACGTCCAACAAATCGTTTTTAGAAAACACCATACCAGCTACCTACAAAAACATTAAGGTAGTCAGTGGTTGCGTGAGAATGCACCGAAATCCCATCCATTTTATTTCACTCATCCCTTCTTGAAAACAATGCAGAACCTAGTAATACCTGTCCACGACACCTCACTCAAGGCTTTCGGAGACCCCAGTTAATTTGCATATACAAGCGGAAGAACCACTCTCGATCCCACCACTCTCTGGTATCACAACATTCCTTGTAATCCTCACAGAGATGCCGAGTGTGCTAGGTGTGCTTTGTGAGACTACTATTCAGTAATTGATTCTCTACCAAGACACATTTTGCTCAACAAGCTACACACGATTACTACTGAGTCTTGGATAATCAACCTACTGTTTCGCTATTGCTCTAACACGAAACAGCATACTGTTCACAGAGGGAAGCACTCCACCTCATCGTCTACTGTGACTTGTGTTCCACAACCAGCCTTCCTATCCACCTGTATTCTCTCTTCATTTCTGCAGGAATTACCACCTTCAACCAACATCAACTTTATCAAATATTCTGATGACCTGAAAGTTTTCATACCTATCTCCTTGTCAACAAATCCTTCACAACTCAATGATTTCCCATCTAATGTCAGACGATGGTCCTCCATCTATGCTCTTATTCCGAATGCTTCAAAATTTCTGACTATAAACTCCACTTTTAGATGTGAATACAATCTATGTAAACTGCCTACTTCTCATTGTCCTCGTTCTATTGATAATTCTGCATCAGAGAATGTTGGAAGTGTGATTTGTCCCGGTGTGTGTTTTCCTTCGGACCTATCCTAGTCCTCCCATATCTTGCTAATTTTCAAAACAATTCTCCACCCAACTTTCTATAACAGGAAGCTGAGAACATGTGGTATAACTCATCTTCTCCCCTGTGTTTTATAGACTCCTGCATCTTGCCTGTTCTCCTCCACTCTTCTCCTTCATTCTTTTCTGGGTTGTTGAGGCAAGACTACGCCATACTGCATAGACTTTTGAAGGATGCCAGCAGAACTAGTGGTGTACCTCCAATTCTTCTTGTTGAAACAGTTGTGGACGAACATATAGACTCATGTGGACATCTGGCAGGAGTTATTTTATCAGGTGGTTAACATCGTCTTCACTCGAATCTGTCTTCATGTTGGCCAACAGGAAAGATGAGGAGCAAGTACATGACACTTTATGCACGTACTAAAAATTATAATACTCTACAATACTGTACTCAGCTTGTTTCGTGTGCGGTGGAGAAAGTATTACAAATGAACTAACTAATCAACTTCTGTTTTTGAAAGCATTTTATTATTTCTGTATTATGAATCTGAATGTTAATGTGATTGTCTACCTTAGTTAACTAAACATTTTCAAGAAAGTTGTAGATAGGGTGAATATTCTTATCTTTTGTGTTTAATTTGTACCTATTTCATTTTGTTGTGTATTCACACATACCGTTCCTGTTCAACTGATGCTATATGACATGCTGAAAATTCTGTAGGTCATTCTCGAAATACCTTTCATAATAAAGCCATTATTATTATTATTACTATTTGAAATTGTAAATGTTGGATTTAAATCCCATTTAGAACAAAATCCCTTACCAAAAATAAAGTACATTCATGTAACGAGTCTTAAATCAAACGAAACCTGACTTCTGAATTCTAACCAGTATACATTATTATCACTAACTCAAGTTTCTTCTTATGTAACTTTAGGGTTGAGGTCACTTCCTTGTTCATTCGCCCGGAAAAACACTTTCATACCAAAGATGTTATGCATTATATATATATATATATATATATATATATATATATATGTAAATGAACTCAATGCATAGTTAATAAACTTCAAAGACGTCTGTATGGCTGATTTCATTGAAGTTGTCATCATATTTCGAGCTAGTGTCAATTTTGATGCTTTGTGAAAAATGAATGCACTAATTCATACTTTAAGGTATGGTATTGTCAAAATAATTTCCCCTTGATGTTTTCAAGTTGAATTTAGCTATACAAAATACAGTGTCATCAAGAAAACGTTCAGTTGTAATCTCACCTCCTCACTTTTGAATATTATAACCCGTTCTGAAACAATATGCTACGTTTTGGTCTGTTTCGCTTATGTTTTATATGTCAAAACGTCTGTAAGTTTTACTGTAAAAGCTAAGAACAGTTTGCTTGGTGGGAGCAAAAAAAGTGAGACAATGTTTAATCCACTAAACCTCACCATAAAACCCAAAAATTAGGTGTTTTAGACCAGTCAACGTCAAAATAAACACCGTTTCTGTTATTTTTCGGTCTAGACAGTTATTTTACACTGAAGTTTGTATTAAACAGGTAGACACACACGCATGCATAGTAACATTACCGATAGTACTGATGACTGGATCAGCACAGCAGAGAAAGTATCAAGGAATAAAAACTGACCACATAGTACACTGTCAACAAGAAGACAGAGAGATCAACGTAGAACTAGGCACAAAATATAGTATATCAAGTTGCTTCACTTCATAACATCGTCGACGGAAAACGTGAATGAAAACTGTAGGACATAAGAGTTTACAAAAATCTATGAGACAACAGAGCATGAATAGATGAAAGTCAATACAACCATCTAAGACTTCGGAGATGACAAATAGTGTTAAGATTTCAGCTATTGTTACAGATTTTGAGCCATATCACCAAGATTTTTCAATCAGTTATCCATATTATCTCAAGGGTTCTAGTCAGACAGCTTACATTTGCCACTGCGGCTCAGAACAACAATCAGTGGCTTCATATGGTGCCAGGTCTTGGTTTGACCACCCTTAGGCTTCTTCACACCTAATCATACTGCGGTTGGCATCACATGTTGAAGCAGAAAGTGGGCTGGAATGAGCAGCACATGTCCAAGCCACATCACTAGCTAAAGGTTCACAACGTTTTTGACTCGTCTGTTTCCCGTGTTTATTTCTCTGAGCATATGCACAATCTTACTGACAGGATGATCTCACTAAACACGAGTATTATAACAAAGGCATCGATAATCAAAAGTCCCTAACTGCTTTGCATCTGCTTTTAGTGACTATTTCTTGCATTCTTATAATAGGACAGAGAGACCTGTAGTGCAATATACTCCTCCTTTAATCTATACTTTGACATCTTACCGTCATCACGGATAATGTAAACTGACAGAAACCTAATTGCCTTTTTGTATGTGAACTGGGATTTCACCACCAACCACCCAGTTTAGCTTGACTTGACTTCCTAAGTAGGTAAAGTGTTAAGCGCACTTGACCACCTCAACTCCTATCCTTTAACTAGCAGTCGAAACAGATCAGTGCTGAAGCATCATCTTAAATTTGACAAGTGTTAAATACATACCAAACACACTCGAACATATGTTCAAGGTGTTCAAACGAGTCTGTATTCTGTCAGAATCTTCGTCTAGCAAAACTATATCTTCTGAGTAATTCAATTCAACCGGATCCCCTTCAAGCATCAGTTGACCACTGAGAAGTTGAAAGTAAGCAGGGTTATGTGCATTAGCACATGTATAACGAAGTTGATTAAACATGATAACAGTAGATATCATGTGGAGAGTCATGAATACCCTAACATAATTTTGTTCTCTTCATAATCACGACACTTTTTGGTTGACAGCTTCGAAATCCGCCTTCAGATAAAAAAAATGTAACGTGTTAAGCATTTGTATGTCTTTGCTCAAAAATCTGTTTAAGGTGTTCAGGTTTTAAAACTGCTTGATGTTCTGGGGAATCAACTGAAATCAATAATTATTTGACTGTAAAAACCTAAAAGATTACAATTTATATTCTTTAAGTTGGTCTGCAAACTCAGTAGAAGACATTTGCTGAAACTCCGATCTTCAAGATGTATACATAAGTAGTTAGGAACCACTCGCGCTGATCTCAAAATTTCACTAGAAAAAAAGAAGCTTATTTAAAAGACATAGCTTTATCTCTTTATTGAAACTATGCATTAGCGTTATACTAGGACTAATATACCTCCTAATTAGTGAGATAAAATGAGTCCAATTTACTAACCTAAATAGACTGCAATACTATGAAATAGTTGAGTAGTTAGTAGATAACTTGCACGTGGTTCACAATACCTTCCTCACACCAGAATAGTTTTCAAATTATTCATTCACTTTATGCTTTACCTATTCTTTTGACTCAAACAGCCAAGTTCAGTTCGGCTGAATAGTTTGACTCATCATCTATAAGCTGAATCATTCTGGCAATATGACTAGCCATCTTGGTCTTAAAATAGAAAACAGGCTGTTCAAAACTCAGTAAACAAATCCACAGATCAGCATATGTCCCTACATAACCTCGACCTTCAAAAGAGTAGTTTATTTAAAATAACAGTTTCAAAACGTACTTTAATATGCTAACCAATACGAAGTAGACTATGGGGAGTACTTAACTGTTAGATAACAATATTCTAAGCATCTAATTGAAATTATGGATAGTGATCTCTACCATTGGTAATGAAATTTTACGTATTACAAAACATTCTATAAGGTGAGTTAACTGATTTACCTATAAAATTGGGATTCTCCATCTCCTCCCGGCATACTGAATCTTGCTTTATAATTTGAAAAGTTACTAAAAAGATAATAACATACAAAAGAAAGATAATAATTATGGTATGGAAATCAAATGCTTAACATAAGAGTACGACTTCATTAGCTAAACTAATGAAATGAAATAAATCCTTATCACTGCTAGAAACCACAAAAACCGCATAGGTTTCTCGGTATAAAATAGATTGTCAGGAAACTAACTGCTCAGAGAAATAGAACTCCAACTTATTTGCGGGTAGATAACGCGGATAAAATAAATTATCGGTAGGGAAATGATGAATTACCTTAAACGCAGATCAGTCTAATTTCTGACTGATTCATCAACTCGGTTAAATTTAAAGGAGCCGAAGTATCTGAAAAGTTCCGTCACTAAACATTTGATGGACATGGGACACGATATCTAGATCTCGGAATAATTTAAAATAACTAACAGATAAAGTAGTGGTAAGTTAATCAGATTCGTGGAAGTGACTGCTATCAGAAGAGTTTTAAGTCGGTTTTCATCATGGACTGACATCATTTGGAAGAAAACTGGAAACCTGAGAGCACCGGAGAGCTGCTTCATCCCAGTATGGGACTCCTAAACAACACGCACTCAGGACTCTGCCCTCCAGGGACCGAACTCGCAATCTTCAGGTTTCGCAGGCAGCACGTTACCACTGAGTCACTGAGTCGGAATCCAATGGTCCATATTTCCAACTTCTCGCAGTTCTCGACACAGCGCCACCATCAGCCAATGCCATCTTTGAGTATTTGTCCTTATGGCCACCAGGTTCGCCCCACTAGTCACGACTTCTCATTGGAACTTCAGGAATCACCTCTCAAAGCTAGTCACCAATGAGCACTAGCACTAGTACATTAACTCAACTCTAATCCTTCAATTGCTCTGAACTACTTCACGAGGGTTACAAAGCTCGTCATGAATAAAAACAATGCACTAGTGGAATTTAAAAAACATAAGACACGTCCTAAATTACAGTAACTAGCCTGAGAACATCATTCATTATATCAAAAACCATGAGCATAAAATCCCGAAAGAAAAGTTAGATAATTAGTTTCAGATTCTCAGAATAGCTCCATCTTCCCACCAAAGTAACACTGGAAAAATACTAAGGACTTTAAGAAAAAGTCGAACTAAAGCCTTCTACAAGACGACCAACACTCTCAGGCATACCTCAGTTAATATAAAATATAGAATTCCTTTTCCCTCCACATAAGACTGAGTCTACAGATTGGGTTGTGTCGATTGTGTTGTCAGTTACATGGGAGAGTTATATCACGAAATTCTCATTTGTGTTAAAGAGCATGCAACCTATACAGATTGACATTCAGATAGTCCTGTAGAAGTAAAGAAACTACAAATCTATCCTATATTTCTTACCAAGGAAAGAAGGCTATGCTATCCAACCATCTTGAAAAGCATATCCGATATAATATGTACACACTGACCATAACTAAAGTGCATATACACAGAAATAAACTGAATTTCTTATTCACATTACTTTTCATACACATTTTAATCTTCGCTCTGAATACACATACCATTCATTGAAGACGATAACTTTTATTCCCATTCTTTTAACATTTTTATGTACATATGTCAAGAAAGTTACCTAGTTTGTGTCCATTTACCAATAGGTTTTATTCTTGGAAGAAGTAGCTTCCGCAAGGTCGCGATATATCAAAAATTTATATTTATACCTCATCGAGATTTTACAAATATATTTCCTTTATCAAATAAAATGACAAAAATGAATCTGGTACAGCAAACTTCACTCGGAATTTTGATAGCTAGTTCATAATCAGAATGATGAATTGATATGTTGGTTATGGTAGGGAATTCTAGCAAACTATGAATCGAATGCGCCTTACTTTTACTATATCTGAAAATATAGGTCCAAGTATACACTATACGTTTCACAGCAATAGGTTATGAACAAAACATTCGTAAGATAGTTTGGCTGACAAAGCGTATCGAATCTTCATTCTGACTTTATCCATACCTGTTCAAAATATCTACCTTGTTCACCCATTTTTTCGTAGGTCTTTATCGTGTATTTAAATTTTTTCCTCCGTTTCGTAACCAAAATGTAAATTCAACAAGATAAGTCCTATATTAAGTATGATCCTACTTTCATCCTTTTAATCAGTCGATCAAAGATAAGATCTTTCAAATTCGTAAAACAGAACTACTGGGCAGCCGAATTTAACTATTCCGCTCCATTCAGTTGGTTAGACCAACCAAATATACTACTGAACAACTTGAGTAGTTAGAAACCACTAAGATTGATCAGCATATTTCGTTAGCCAGATCTGACGGATCTAAACACCGGATGGATAATTTATGGCATACCGGTCAACAAAAAATACCTATTCAGATCTCAAAATTAACCTGGTGTAATCTAAATTCCTCAGAGGACATCACTGATGACCTTCGACCCAAACGACTGGAATGACTGTTTGGTGTTTATATGAATTCCACCTGCCTTGTAAAATTAGCAGACCAGCGCGAATAAATTTTAGTCATTCATGTTTTTTCAAGAGTTTAATTTTGTGATTCATGGCGCTTTCTGTGTCAGAGATTGCATCCCGTGATTATGGTTGGATAGTTTCTGACGATAAGCCTGCTGAAGCCGCAGTCTATCCGTTGATAAACAGTTCGGCTGTAAGAAACTTCAATGTGAACCAAGGAATTAGTTGCCAACATGCAAAATTATCAACTTTATGGTTGGTTATGCCAGCCGATGAAATCCAAGATTCTATTCAATATATATAATGAATGGAAAAACAGATTTAAAAAAGAATAATGATAGGAATGGACAATAGAAATTATCACTTACTAGGCAGCTTCATGATTACCAACACATGTCATATAGGGAACTCTTGAAGCGATTGGTTGTATATTGCGCATAAACTTGTCCCCAACTCTTCCATTATCCTTAAGTGAATATCGAAATTTATCAGTCAAACGATGAATCACAATATGAGAAAAAGGGTTAATCTTGCCTATGTTTTCCTATAAAGCAATAGCGCTTCACGTTATGAAATGAAACTTCTGTGTTTAGTTTATTTGTTTTGTCACTATAACTGTATGATAAGTAATGCATATATCAGCTATTGCTATTCATAAACTTGAATAGAGAGAAAACAACAAGTGAAGTAGGCAGCCCTGAACCTTCTTGGGGTCTGTACGAAAGGCGTATCTGTAACCTCAACAGGACTGATGTCTCGCCTAGGATTAGAATCCAGCGTTGTAGTCAGCGAAGTTACCACAAGGCTGTTCAAACCGCGGTTGACCTACTGTAGGACTGAGTTACATACATTACTTGGTCACGGGGGAACAACCAATTTCATATTGTCTAGTACCGAGTGAAAATCGAATTCTATTGATCATATTTGGAATGTCCGCCAACGTAGGAGGTTCAGCATCACGGTGTACACTGGCAGATGTCGGTTGATTGGAGACAGCCGGCAAGAAGCTCCGGACCCAGTTTACATGCTTGTTGGCACTCGTGAGAAGGGCATATCTACAACCAAGTCCTTCAGGGGGTCAGTCGCGGCCCGAATAGCCCACTGGTAACGTTGTTGACAACAACATTAGGTGAAGCAGGTTCAAATCTCAGGTAGGACATCAGTTCCGTTGAAGTTGCAGATACACACCATGTTCACTAACAGCCAGATAACATGCAATCAAGCTGTGCAGCGCATGTAGACACCCTTAATCTTAGGTTCTTATGTGTGTGTTTAGGAATGCGAATGAAAACCCTCCTCACTGCTTTTCCAATGTATGTACTTTGATAGATGCACTAAGAGGCAACATGAAGGGGGAATCCGTTTACTTCAATTGTTACGGCAATGAATTTGTCTGGTATAAAAAGACTAAAATGGCTACCGGATACGTCCTATTCAGTGTAGCATTCAATGGATGTTGGACTCTAGAAGCAAGTCGTAAGAAGACAGTCTCTGTCTATACTATGCTGCATTTTAGTATTCTCGAACTAGACGTTTTTATTTATGAGGGAACTTCTGGGGAAAAGCACTATAACGCAAACGCTCCTCAACAACAGATAACCCCTCCTCAAGTTTTTCTTACCAGCACAATTTACTCGTCTGTTTTAACTGACCGCTTTTTGTAAATCATTGGACAGAAGCTTTCAGAGTTCAGATACAGTTCACTCCGAGTCACCTTCTTTTTATTTACCTTTAAATTTCAGCATCTGTATCACGTTTGGTACCAAGACATAAGAAATGGAACTTGTTGTTATGCTAATACTCCATTGTAAATTTCATATTAGGATGAACAGTGTTGAGAAGATTTAACAGACGAGATATGTCGTTACGGTCGTTTCAAATAATGAACATATTAACAAAATGCTTGACATCAAACTTTGTCTCACCGATTCCACGCTTCATCTTCCTTTGCCACATATTACTCGTAAATATGTCAACTATAATCCGACCCAAAAGGCCGCCTATTGCAACTCAATCAATTTTACGATATAAGACATTGTTAAACTGCAATTCAATATATTTGGTGAACATCAGTAACAAGTGGTTAAAGTCAGTCTACGTGATGGAAAGAAGGTCTGAATGTTCACATTCAAACTTTACGGTCTTTTACAGTGGGATCTTTGTAAATAAAGATGACACGACGTAGGAAACCACGAAGTTAGTCAAAATATTCATATTTTCTTGCATTTGAACAAAATCAAATGTATGTTTCAAACTGTAAACATTTGACTTCTTAGCACAGTTTAGTTCAAAGTGTTTCTTTCTCTAACCATCGGATCAGCTTATGATACAGTGACCTAACCATACAGAGTATCGATCTCACAAGAACATCTGGTTTTTGCATCTTTGCAGGTCATATATAAAGGTAATCTATATTTTTTAAAGTTTTATTTCCTTGCACGTACTATTATCGAATAATTTTTTTTTTCAAGATTTCTCATAATTTCCTCATAATCTATTTTCCAGATGATTAGGTCAAATCTTTTGTTGTTGTTTGGTACTCTTAATTTCCCATTATTATATAGGGTCAAATTCACTGACCTCTATTGAGAGATAGGCCTCTATATGGATGCCATGGTACTGCCAGATATCCATGAAGTTCTATTCATCCTGGTGAATTGCAGTGGAATCCAAGACGAATTTACCCATACTCCAGTGAGTGATGAACACAACATTAATACCTGACAGCATCGAGGCATACGCATAGGAACCCACATGCCAACAGAGGTCGAGTATTTCGACCCAAAACAGAAACTGGGAATTACGAGTGTTTAACCAACAGCTGATACCAGTTGCATATGTGGTCGCTCTCGTGCATCAGTAGTGGCCTAGCGGGAAACACCTTAGCTTTCGAAGCAATGGTTAGTGAGTTCGAGTCCCAGTGGGAACAACACCACTCACTGGGGTACAGGGACATCCAGTTGACAAGTCCCAAGTAGAACAAAACATACGTCCTGGATTCCACTGCGAATCGCCAAGATGAGTGCCAATTCAAATCTTTATTTAAATGATCAGTTCGGAATATTGGTGAATCATCTAAAATCGATCTCACTTTATGTGCACACTTGTCTTTGTCCGTTATCACACAACATAACCTTCGTCTGGCCGAAGTATAACAATGATTTCATCATTCACTAAGTTTCTTGATGTTCTTTTGGTAATCTCTGGATAAAATTGTTAACTGTGGATTTGAAGATGCAATGTGCTGATTGATCATATCACCAAGTCGAGATTTCAGCTAACTTTGCTTCGTTCCATCCAATAGCTTCATTTCAAATGGTCGGTCATATAAACTCTCCAACTTCTTTTTAATGACAATTTTTCAGACCAGTTTGCTTGTAATATAGGATTGGAACCCAAATGAGAGATTTTCAGCTTTGATTTGACTCAGCTTTGGAAGTGACAAGTTGGAAATGCTATTTCAGGATTTTCAGCAATACTCTCATACAGCTGCTCATTAACAAGGATCTTCTATAAGGCTTTTTCAAAATCCATTCTTGTTTTCTTTTGGACTTCTCGAATGAATCTGACAAACTTAATCTTACAAAAGTAGTCCATCTCTTTGACAAATTGATCTAAAAAAGACCCTGCGCTCTCAGGTCAGAAATGGGGTCCCTAGTGTGTTCAATTTGATATTTTTGCAACACGTAGAAGATTCTTCTAAGAAGGTGGCAATTTGCACATATTTACAGACCCAAAGAACTGACATGGAATGCAGCACTAACCCAAGCAACGTTCAAAGAATTTCAGCCTTGTCATGTCCCTAGATATCCTACCCTGTAGGATGATTCAGTTACTTCGAAGATTGTGAAAACAGGCCTTTTCTTAAGAACTTCAAATAATTTTTTAGGTCATTCGGAGTAAATTCCAAGCTGATGGATGGCAGGTTTCTAGTTACTGTAAAAACTATTCAAAACTTTCATTTTACGCACCTTAAAAGAATCTCAACCTTTTAGAAGACTAATTAAGAGCTTTATTCATAGTTCAGTGGTGTTTTCATCGTCAAATTGACATGGCTTAGGCAGGTGACCTTGAAATTTACCAAAGCCCTTGAATCATTCGATTTGGGAGCAGTTTACATTTTGTTTCATTCATATACACTTTGTATTTTGAACTGTTAATATCACACACTGAAGCCCATATACACTACTTTTTTAAAGTTATCTCTACACCTGTCATGCAATTTAGTCTCAGAATCTAATTTAACCTTCAGTTTTAGCTAAACTAAATAAAATAATAATTGGTATCCGTTGTATAGAAGATGAATGTCGGAACGCACTACCCAAGTTGATAATACACTGATGTAGGAAGCGATAGTTTCTGGGTTCGGAGTCTCAAACAGAATAAAATGTGAATCTTAGCCACTATAGACATCCACCAAGTAACATTTTTGAAGGAATGAATGAAAGCGAAAGACTTTATTTTTATGAAATATTGAAAACATTTACTACCAGGATTTTTAATGTACTCACAGAATCCATGTTATACGCGAAATCGCCTACATGCAAAATCATATCGAAATTGTCTAGTTCATTGACTTCATGAATTAATTCAGGTAACACAGTTGCATTCACTGCACCCATATCTCCATAAACAGCTAATCTTGGTGACCAATAAGGATGAGATGGAAGAGCACGAAATTGTAGGACCGGTGACCAACCATCCATACTCCCACATTTATAATCTATAAATAAATATATTGAAATACTTTCTAAAACATAAATTAAAATGACGAGTATTTCCGGTCAAGTAAAATGATGTAACCAGTAAGCAGGGTAGAATGCTATGAATACCATAAATCAGTTGTCCTGTGAAGTCATCAAAACAGTCTCCTTCCACAGGATGGAAGTTGAATTTCTAAAATTGCCAACCCAGTTAACACGTGAATTTCAAATGGGTCATGTTGACGTTTTCAGAGAACACTCACTAGTTTCGATACGAAGTCACTTAATTTTAAATATATTGATACTCTGTCCTAATATCAACTTTGGTAAGAAATGTTCTACCTGAATTTCTGGACTGATAAACTAAGAATACAATGACTGCCTGTAGATTAAGATTGTATGACCATTTACCTTTTTTGTTTCCAGTTATCGCAAGTCTTCAGATATTCCTTTATCTTTGAAAACGCTAGAACTGATGAAATGTACCACTTAACATTCTAATATACATATTTCTAACCGATTAGTAATCAGATTTTCTTATGACAAAGATGCTTTTACTTCATATCTGTTCAGCACTTATCTGACAACAAAATTATTATTTATTATTATTAGTCTCTTGGGTTCCTAATGGAACATAAGGCTTCAGTAGCACGTCTCCAGTGAACTATGTTCCCTGAAATCTTTTGAACCTGGCTCCACGACAGCCCACAACCTCACGTTTCCTACTCGCACGATCTCCTCCATGTCACCCTCGGACGTCCAACTCGTCGTTTCCTATGGGGATTCCACTCGACGGCCAGTCGGCTTTCTCAGTGTATGCCCAATCCATCTCCACTTCCTTCCAGTGCATATTTGTTGAGCGATAGGTTCTTGGTTGGTTCGGTCCCAGAGCTCCTTGTTGCTTATTCTAATTACTCTGGCCATCTGATCTTCAGTAACGAGCCAGTGTAGGCAGTTGTTGATGAATGTCTGTAGTTTATTGGAAATGCCTTTCGTGACGCGCCAAGTCTCTGAACCATACAAGAGCACTGACTTGACGTTGGTGTTGAAAATCCGTATCTTGTTCCGCATGCTGAGTGCAGACGATCTCCACACTGGTTTCAGGCTAATGAACGCCTGTCTTGCTTTTCCGATTCTGACTTTCACGTCATCGTCCATCCCGCCTGTAGTTGAAACACTGCTTCCTAGATAAGTGAAGGAGGTTACTTCCTTCAAGTTTCTCCCGTTGACGGTGATTGGAGTTTGTTGTTGTTGGAGTTGTTGATGCGGTATCTTCATCACCTCTGTCTTCTCTATATTCACTTGAAGTCCCGTCTTAGCTGCCTCTTCTATCAACTTGCTAGTTTTTGCCTGCAGATCTTCAAGTTTATGTGACATTAGGCACAAGTCATCGTTGGCGAAATCCAAGTCTTCTAGGTTCTTTTCCACAGTCCAGCGTATCCCCCTCTTCTCGCTCCCCTCTGTTTGCGGTATGATCCAGTCAGTTGAACACAATCAGGAATATGATGGGGGATAGTAGGCAACCTTGTTTCACTCTCTCCTGTCTTCACTTCAAAAGCATCACTGAGCTTCCCATTGTCAATTACTTGGCATGTGGCATCTTCATATAGTTGTTGAATGAGGCGGATAAAGGTTTGCGGTACTCCGTAGTATTGAAGCAGTTTCCAAATTACCTCTCGGTCGACGCTGTCACAGGCCTTCTCAAAGTCGATGAAGTTGAGGTAGAGAGTTGACTGCCATTCTAAACTCTGTCCTATGATGATGCGAAGTGTTGCAATTTGGTCTGCACATGATTTGTACATCCTGAATCCAGCCAGTCTGTTCCGGTCGTAATTTTGAATCCAGCGCATCCTTCAGCCTCTCCAAGATGATGCGGCTTAATATTTTACTTGGGGTGGACAGGAGAGTGATTCCACGCCAGTTCTTGCAAGCACTCAGGTCTCCCTTCTTCGGCAGTTTGACAAGATAACCCTTCTTCCAATCAATGGCCAGGTACCTTCTCTCCCTTCCACACCTTCTGCAATAGTGGTGTGAGCATGTCCGCTGTTGTCTCTGTGTCTGTTCTCAGTGCTTCTGGCGGGATCCCATCTGGTTCTGCTGCTTTCCCGCATTTCAGTAGCTTTATGGCGTTCAGGACTTCGACTTTTGTTGGAGGATTTATGTTCACTTGTAGTTCTGTGAGTCGGCTGTAGGTGGTATTTCTGGACGAAGTGCAGGTGGTGGTGGTGGTGGCGATTCAAGAGCTTCTTGAAGTGGTCGGCCCATTGTTTCCTTTGTTTCTCTTCTTCCGTAATTACATTTCCGTCATCATCTTTTATTGGTTTCGTCTGCGTTGATCTCTTCCCTGAGATAGCAACCTGGTTATTGGATACAATGTTGTCATGTCTCTCTTACCTGCAGAACCTGTTCTGCTTCACTTGCCGGTGTTTCGTGGAAGTGTCTTTTGTCTTTCCGTGCACTCTTCTTCACTTCTCTGTCCAGTGTAGTGTTTTATAAATTGTGCTCAATTCCTCTTGTCGTTGAGCATCCTTGCACTGGTTTATCTGCTGCTTCACCATCCTCCTCTCCTTCTATCAGCTTCCAGGTATCCGTCGAGATCCATTCCTTTTCTTCTTTCTTCTTTCCTAATACGGCTGTGCAGGTTTCTTTCGACATCTCTTTCAAAGACTTCCAGTGTTCTTCCACACAGGTTTCTTCAGGGATGTTGCTCGATATCTCCCATTTTGTCTTGATGGCTGCCGTGAAGATTTCCTTTGTAGTTTCATCCTTTAGTGTTGTACTTGAACTGCGGTCTATCACCAGCTTCCTTGAAGGCTTTTAACTTGATTTGGAAGGTTCCTTGCACTAGACAGTGAGTGGTCTGAACCTACATCTGCTCCTCTTCTTGACCTTGTGTTAAGTAGACTGCGTCTCCATTTTCTTGAGATTGAGATAAAGTCGATTTGATTTTTAGTGTGTCCTGGTGTCTGGTGAAATCCATGTCGCTCACTTTGTGGATATCCTTGTGCTTGAACACACTGCCTTCAACCACCAACTCGTTGAATGCACAGGATTCTGCAAACAATTCTCCATTCTCCTTCATCCCTCACCTAGTGCTTCTCGACCCATGGTTAGTTCTCTTCCTATGTTGTCCCCTCCCAGTTTGGCATTCATGTCGCCCATTAGAATGGATTTTGATGTCGCCAACTGACGTCTTGTCCAGTGTTGATTGAAGTTGTATGAAGTTGTATGTAGAGTTCCTCCTTCCTCTCCTCATCTCCATTATTTGTAGGTGCACAACATAGCATTGTATGATTATGACCTTCCTTCCTTTTGAGTTGAATCTTGCTGTCATGATCCTGATCGTTGAGGAGATTGGTTCCCACTGCATGAGAGTGAGTCTTCGATGCTCTTTGGGACATCATGATAGCCACTCCATAACTCAGTGTGCTCGTGGTTGTTGTCTGGGTGACAATATTGGAGGAGATTATTGATTCTCCAGTTGACAGTTTGGAGAGTCCACTCCCATTCCATCTGCTTTCGCAAATCCCAAGCACTTCAATGTGATACCTTCTCATTCCGTTTGCAATCTGGGCTGCCTTACTGGGTTCAAACATCGTGCGGACATTCCATGTCCCCACGTTTACTTTCGCTTTCATCTAGGGAGAGAAGACACATCGGCCAATTGGCTTTCAGAAGGCAGGCTTTCACCAACTGGCGTCATTTCGCCTCTCCGATTCCAGCGGGGAATAAGTTTGTTTTTATTTTTTATATTTTGTTTGTGTTTTGAAGTTTCTTTAGCGGTTAGATTTGTTTTACGGGGTAGGGTTGCTAGCCCTATGCCCAACCTTCCCTCTTTACCCGGGCTTAGGACCGGCTAGTAACTAGTGAACTAGTTAACCAGGCGAGGTTCTGACAACAAAATACATAGCTTTAATTTTTGAAGAATCTGATAACAACCGTAATATGAAGGGTAGAGCCATAACATTTTTCTTCAAGTCACTGATGCCTATAAACAGAATCCATTACTGTTTCCTAGTAATCGTTAGGTAGAATATTTCTAATTGGTGGAAGTCACAGTGTTATTACTACTTCTAATTAAAGGCATGTTAGATGAATTATCCTCATCCTGATATTGCTTAGCAAAAACAAACATTATTTCTTTCCAGCGTTCTGTATGATATGTGTTAACGAATACGTTATATGATAAAAATCCTTGGTTGGTTTCAACCGAATATAAGGACTGCGGTTAAGTTGTACAACAACTAAGTGATATAAATTAGTCAAAAACATTCAGAGTATTAATGTGAATAGGTTTTAAATTTTTCACTTAGAAACTTGTATTAAAAGTAATAGCGATTCCGTAGCATTTGATTATTAGTGGTCACTATCAACAATGATATTCGTTGGACTTGTAATATAAACCAATCACCTTATTAGATGATTTACAGTCTCGTCATGTCACTTAAGATGAAGACAGGTTTCATGAATTCCCATTAGTAGACTATGATGCACAAGGGTTTAACAAGTTGATATCATTAATAATTATTACTAACTATAAAACCTCATAAAGAGTTTGTTTATTGAAAATTGTAAAGGCATCAGGCTTCATGGCTTAGCATTAGAAATTGAACATATATCAGATACTCCACATCAATTTAAACAAAGTTGACATCATTTTTCGATTTTCCTTAGTTTTTCTCTAGTTGAGTCCAGCTTGTAATGTTGAATTATGGTCACAGCGTGTTAAATTCTTGAAACACTAAACTGAATCCCTCCTTTATAACAAGATAAATACTAGTATGAAGATTTTTTCTTACATCTTTGTTCATTGTTGACATGAAAGTATCCTCAATCAGTTGATGAAAGTTTTAGATTTTATACCAAAAGGTATGTTTTTATGTTTTCATCCGAAATAATATGACGTAATATCGCCTGTGGGCTAGTCAGACCATGGATCCCTTCAACAACTTTTTTAGCTGATTGAGTTTCTACAAACTGTTTAAACACCACTTTGCTGGTGATAAGAAACGACTTTCATATTCACAACAGCTATATTGGCGATATCTTCACTAGTTGAAATGAGTTGGTGAGCCTTAGAAATCTAGTTTAAGCACTCAGCATTGCTGATTTCTTTTGAAATTGAATAAAACTTTAGATTTCACAGCCTTCACTTTCAACTCCGATAATACAGTAAGTATCCAATCCAGTGATCTGTTTCAAGAATTTCTACACTGAAAACATAGTTTGTTAACTCTGTAGGCTACGTTCATCCCACTATCTTCACAGATCAGAAAATCATTCGAGCGGTAAGATTTCAGCAGAAAACTGGAAGCTCTTGAAAAATTGATTCCAATTAAAATTCATAAATGAGGAATCATGTTATATATTTGGATTTTGAGAAAAGATTTTACTGTTGAACATCATACTGAAAGGTGTCGACACTCAAAACACCTTCAGGAAGCGATTATAAAGACGTCTAAGTGAAGACATTTTGAGGAAAATATTTAAATCACATAAACCTCATAGAAATGAATTCATCAGTAGGTGGATGAAAAATCGGAGCACCAATTTGCATCAGTGCGTAAATCTCAGTTTAATGGTATTTTTTTAGAATTGACCGACTTTCAAATTGTTTTCTGGACACTATTCAACTTGGTTTGCAGAGGGAGAACAAAAATACTCTTCATTTCCATAATAAGAAACCTACTGAATTCAGGACACTCATTTCTTTTTGAAAAGGCTTTCAAAATCTATTAAAAATTTCTATCATGTCGAAAAGAAGTGAGATTTCAACATTTAGGCAAAGATGAAGCATTATCAACTCAAAACTTGGATCCACTATTGTCTCCTGAAAATAAATATGTATGTCCTCTGTATCTTCATCGCTATCATGACGAGTTAGTCATTGTAGACAACTTTCCAACTAGTTAATCTAGTTTGATTACCGCATGTTGAGTTCATTTTCTTTTTCCTAACCCATGTTTATACTCCATAGCCTCTGTATTATTATCAGGTGCTTTTTAACCGTTGACCCTAAATTATTTCACAATATTCTACACTTTTTGGTATATGCTTAGGAGTAAACAATTAGGAAAATGAAGAATCATCTTCACTTAAATTGTCTTGTTTCTCTTCTCTTACGATCTATTGAATGTGTCACTGTTCAAAATTTAAAAGATCATAAAAGTTATCAAAAATCCAACAACTTACTGTATAAAGTATTTCCTATTAAATCTGTTATTATAACTCGGTGTATGTACATCACGCGTTGTTCACGTCCTCCATCGACAAACTCTTTGACATAACCAGTACTTTTCATATTTAAACGTTCAGTTCCATATAATACAGTTGAACTCTCTGTATTTTCTTGCGTAACCCATGTAACACTTATTGTAGATGGCTTTTCTAAGGTAAATAAATAATGTTATACATATACTCCAATGAGATGTAACTGGGATGAAAAACAACGGTTAAGAACTTCAAAACTTATGAAATAACCTTTTTTTAAAGATTACCTTAGGTAAAAGTCACTATTTTGCATGATACTGAGATTTATACAGATTACGGTTAGATTTGTATCGATTAAAGTGATGATCTATTCTACTGAATGAACTGCTTGCCCTCAGTCGAACGTAGGTACTTTTATCCTAAACGAAGAAATACTCCAAAGGACCCGATGAAAATCGTTGTCAAACTAAATGGTTATTTGATTGCAGCAATAATTCTGAAAACATTCACTGATGATTCTGACATTTAAGTTCAACTTTTCTATTTGTATAATTTACTCGCTAATCAGCAGACCATAGATTTGAACTCTCCACTTCCCCACAGGAATAGGTGATGCTTGTGACAGTGATAAGGATTTGTAAGTCATCATCTAACGGATATGATTCATGAAGTTCTTGATCAGTATTCATTGGTGCAAACGAAAATTAGTCGAACAGTTCACAAATTTCTTTAGCAATTACATCATTATCACCTGGTAAATTGATCTATTCTTATTACGAAAAGAGTCAAAACTTATTACTGTACTAAACAATTTCATAACAAAATATCGAAGGTAAACCATCATTAGTATTTTGCTCTTATTTCAAAGCAGCATTTTTCAAAATCATCAGAAATCTGGCGCATAAAATAAACATTATTATTTGGTAGTAATGATGGATGGCAACTAGCAGTGAAATGGAGGACGCGTGTTATGTTTCATTTGGGACTTGTCTGCTGGATGTACCTGTACTGCAATAAGTAATGTTATTCCCACTAAAACTCCAACCTAGGATCGATTGTTTCAAATACCACAGCATTATCTACTGGTCCATTGAATCAGTATAGCCACTAATGTGTGATGGGTGTTGCTTTAGAAATTCTGTTGATGCTACTTCGATAAAGTGTTTTTTATCCCTACTTTAATGATGTAGGTCTCACAGAATTCTTGGATGTCATTCTATTTACGATAGTAATCTAATTAAAATCAAATGAAAGTCACTGATATTTAAAGTTGTCCATTTCCGCAAAATTAAATTCACCACATTAGTTTGGGTAAAATAAGTTTTTATCCTAAAGAATACGATTGGATCGGATTTCAGCCCAGTTATTCAAAGTAAACTGGCTCAACTTGCTCTCTGAAATACTACACTACACAACGCCAAAGCTGATGCTCATTGTTCTGTAGCTTCTCTTCTCTTTTCGATACATTTTAATTCACTAAGAATATAGGACATCACAGCTACCCAATTAAAATAACCTCAAATTTAAATAACCTTGAATAAAGAATATTTAATCCAAACAGTTAAACACATAACAGTTTCTGAGCTGAATAATAAGCCTACAAAGAACGTAAATGGCAGTCTGTATAAAAGACATTGAAGTCAGTCTTTTATCGTTTTTCATAGAAAAGTGACTGCTCTGATGATTCCTTCCCTAAAATTAACAACGTAATTGTCATTTGACTATCTGAGATAGACGTAGTTTGACAGACTAGTACTTCTACTGGGTAATGATTGAAGGTGAAGTTTGGACCGCAGCTGGATCCCAACCAGCGACCACCGTGTTTCCGGCCCCATGCTTAACCAACTAAGCTATGAGGTCCGACTACTGACCAGATTTTAATTTCAATTCAATCAACGAGGGTTTTGCCCAACTACCAAGTGAATTCGTGACACTTTACTACCGCTTGATCGTATTCACACTGGCTGCCTAGTCAAGACTTCTCAACCTAATCCAAATGTAAGTGAATTAGAGAGGGGGAGCATCATATTGATTATCATTTGACTACCTGAGATAGTCGTGGTTCGGCAGACTAGTATGTATACTGGGTGATAATTGAAGGTGAAATGAATGGATTGGAATGAAAAGTCCTGACTAGGCAGCCAGTGTGAATACGATCAAGCGGTAGTAAAGTGTCACGAATTCAAATGGTAGTCGGGCGAAACCTGTGGTGATTGAAATGAAGTGAAAATCTGGTCAGCAGTCGGATCTCATAGCTCAGTTGGTAGAGCATCAGGTGGGAAACCTGGTGGTCGCTGGTTGGAGTCCGGCGCGCTTCAAGTTTTCACTTCACCTTCAATCATCAACCAGTATTAACGACTTGACGTTAAAGCGTCAAATTCGATATATATAACAGTATAATTGGTGAAAAAGTTTGAAAGAAATTTGATCATTTTTCCACAAGTAGCAGTATTACTTCCTGTGACGATCAGCTCTATCACTCTTTGTCTTGCTGTCCTTGTTTCATGATGCATTTCATTAAAATGCTTTTGTACCCTCGTGTTTGAACTTATTAACTGTTTCTAAATCAGCAACTGGCATATCTTGCAAGTTGTAACCTCTGACTTGATTGTGGTGATAAAGTTTGTGATCTAGTCACCAAGTGAAGATATACAGCAGTGTGACATAGTTTGCTGAACATTCCATGGTAAGAGTAATATGACAACAAATCGCTGACTTCAACAGTAACCAATATGAGCTCCAATCTCCTAGGAAAAGAAAGGAATACTATCAATGTTGCAGAAACTTTTCTGAAGAGTTTTAGAAGCCCGTAAGCTTGAGTTAAGAAGGTGAGTAATATGTGCATATAATCTATCTCCAAAGAGGGCCATTGGTCACGTGGATAAGTCTACGGTTGTTTGTTGTTATGTATCCAAAGGTCTTGTTTCCCTTCGTTCCATCTCCATTTTCCAAATTCACTCTTATTATCCAACCCTAGTAATCAGGAAACATGCATTGCTAACTTAAAGTGAAGTTAAGAAGGTGACACTCTTTTGTTTGAACTCAAGACTGGCCAGAAAGTCTTGTTTTGTGGTGCAAAGAGTGATAGGCTTCCCAAAAGAAGTTACTTACAAGCTTTCTCAGTTAGAATCTTTCTTTCAGTGATATTGCAGCCGGATTCTTTTTCATGATAGTTAAAAAGTAAATCGGTTCTTCATAAATATTTGTACTTCAACTTAACTATATACCTAGGCATCACCTCCTTTTGCTTTTATACCGAATGGAATACAAGACTTGTGAACATTGTATTGATAACAGTTTGGTGTTATTCCAGTGGATCTATTGTAACCTGTTAGACAGTCATCATTTGTAGTATATTACAACTGTGTGGTGTTACCTTAATATCTACTGTTTAGACAAGGCCGTTTTTGGTTTGCAGGGTCTTGTAAACTGAAACAATCATTGTTGATTCATTCACTAGATAATAAGTTGCGTAAGCATACTTATTGTTTATAATGAATGTTGTTGAATTCATTGAAAGTTGCAATTATTTCAACACATTATCAGTTCATTGTCAAATATTTTTTCAATATGATAACAAATAATGCACTAGCTCCGCTTACCTTATCGCTAATATTTAACTGAAATAGACATTTCAAGTGTTTGTTTAGTCTATGAGTCATATTTAAAAATGGACAATGGATTCACGTGTTAGTCACAAAAACTACCGAATTCTTGGTTCTGATTAAAAACAAGTAGTGTTAGAAACATCTGAACCCTTATAGGATAATAATTCGTTAACCGTTCAGGCGTTAATCATTCTTCTCTTGATCTCAATTAGTTACTAAAATAAACTTCAAGCACTCTCCTTGTTTGATACATTTGTCATTATCAGGAAAGTAAACCAACAGAAATGTATAGAACATATAATTTATATTTCAGATTCCATTATATTCACTAGTGAAATAAAATCTAAGTATGTGACTCAAAATTTTTCAGATTGTCTCATCCAAAGAACAACTGAAGGTAAATTTAGTATGAAAATATGCAGAAAACCAATACCTTTAGACTTCTAATGGAATCATCGAACTAATATAAAGACTAATGTCGTATTGAACTTACTAAACAGGGAGAAAATCATCGCAACGGATCCCAATGATTTAAAAAATGAAATATCTCGAATAAAGCATGTTTTAAAGGAAAATGGATACCATAAAGAGTTCTTGAACAACATTATCGGTCAAACGAATAAAACAGCAAGTACTACTACTACTAGTAATAAAGGTAAAACAATATCATGGGCGTCATCTATGACGACCCCATATCGGAAAGGTACCTCTGAACAGATTAAAAGAGTGCGCTTCGCATGGTATTAAAGTCTGTTCTAAACTTAGAAATTGACTAGAGAATACCTTTGTTAAAGTGAAACATACAATTTCAAAGATGACACAGAATAACTGTGTCTACAAAATTAGATGTTTAGAATTTGAAGCTAATTATGTTGGAAAACGTTGTTGACTCCTAAGAGTTAGGGTGAATGAACGCAAGTTATGCAGGAAACATCCCTCGAAGAATCAAAAGGAATTAAAAAAATTTAGAGAAACAATCAGCAATAGCTATGCATGCAAATGAAAGTGGACACAAGACTGACTTTGAGAATGTAGACATACTGGAAAAAGGTTTCCATTAACATATAGAAAGATTAACTTTCGAGGCTCTGTATATTTTAACAGCACCAACTGCTGCAAAGCACAAAAGAAGGAAAAGACTTGTTACCTGTCTGATAAACACTAATCCGACAAAATCATTAATAGGTTAAGGAACGGTAGCTGGTTGTTCGTCTCTTGTTCAAAAACCAACCTACCTTGGTAGTACTGATTTTAATTTTCAAACCAACAGTAACGTGATTAAAATTTTTTTTCTCTGCCGTTCCTATCCCTATGTTTCCATTAACTTCATTGACACTTTTGTAAATTTCCATATGAATACTTTGACAATTCCATGTATGATCAGACTGTTAGAAATGTATAGCGCTAATATATCTCATGTTTCAGATAATCTTTGTCTTCTCCTTACACTGTTTAATCATACATAATCATATTCTACGAAAAGAGTGTGTTTTCGCTGATGTTTTAGATTTTATTTCTGTCAAACAATCTCCTAGGAAGGCTACTCACTTGCATATTTGAAATAAAGTG